TATATATTCTTTCAATGACTACATTATTTAATCAACTTCTTCAACGGTCGGACCAGTGCCAGATGTAGGTTTACTGTGGTTGTGTGATTCTTTCTGGTGTGCATTACCACCGTATAGCTTCGACAGGATTGGTGAACACACCTTCTGCAGTTCATTTTGCTGGTGATCATATTCTTCCTTAGTTGCAAGACTGTTGTTGTCCAGCCATTCAACGGCTTCCTTAACTGCTTTCAAGACTGTGTCTTTGTCCGCACTATTTACTTTGCTTTCATCGGTACCTTCTATACTTGTCTTTACATTGTAGGCATAGCTCTCAAGGTTATTCCTGGATGTCACTCTTTCTCTTTCGGCGTCGTCTTCAGCTTTAAACTGTGCGGCTTCATTCACCATTCTCTCAATATCAGCCTGTGATAGTCGTCCATTATTATTTGTAATGGTGACGCTATTTGAGCGCCCTGTGCCACTATCTTTAGCAGTTACATTCAGTATGCCGTTGGCATCAATGTCGAATGATACCTCAATCTTTGGGACGCCTCTAGGAGCTGGTGCAATTCCAGAGAGATCAAATGTTCCAAGGCGATTGTTATCCTTTGTCATTGCTCTTTCACCTTCGTAAACCTGAATAGTAACAGCTGGTTGATTGTCAGCGTAGGTTGTGAAAGTTTGTGTGGCTTTCTTTGGGATTTGAGAATTACGATCGATCAGCTTTGACATCATGCCACCTGCTGTCTTAATTCCCAGGGACAGAGGTGTGACATCCACTAATAGAACGTCTTTAATTTCTGAACTGTTGTCACCAGATAAGATGGCTGCTTGAACGGCAGCACCGTAGGCCACAGCTTCATCTGGGTTGATTGATTTGTTTAGATTTTTGCCATTCAAGAAATCCTGAAGCAACTTTTGTATTTTTGGAATTCGAGTTGATCCTCCAACCAAAACCACTTCATGAATCTCAGATTTACCAAGCTTAGCATCATTCAATGCTTTTTCAACTGGTTCCAGACACTTGCGGAATAAATCCGCGCAGAGTTCTTCGAACCTGGCTCTGGACACGCTAGTGTAAAAGTCCGTACCTTCATATAAGGAATCGACTTCAATGCTAGCTTGAGTGCTACTGGAGAGTGTTCGCTTTGCCCTTTCTGCTGCCGTCCGAAGTCTACGAATTGCTCTGGGGTTTACAGTCATGTCTTTCTTATACTTCCTCTGAAACTCATTTGCCAGATGATTTACAAGTCTGTTGTCAAAGTCCTCACCACCAAGATGAGTATCTCCAGCTGTCGACCGGACTTCAAACACACCATCATCTATTGTGAGAATGGAAACATCAAATGTTCCACCACCCAGATCGAAAATCAAGATGTTCTTTTCACCTGACAGTTTCTTATCAAGTCCATATGCTAGTGCAGCTGCCGTTGGCTCATTAATGATTCGTAAGACGTTCAATCCGGCAATGACACCAGCATCCTTTGTAGCCTGTCGTTGAGAGTCATTGAAGTATGCGGGAACTGTTACCACTGCATTCGTCACCTTCTGTCCAAGGTATGCCTCCGCTGTTTCCTTCATTTTCATTAACACCATTGAGCTGATCTCCTCCGGAGTAAATGTTCTGACTTCTCCAGCATGTTGTACCTGTATTGTTGGCTTACCAGCTCTATTGGTCAGTGTAAATGGCCAATGCTTTTTGTCTGCTTGGACGGTGGAGTCGTCAAAAGCTCTACCTATTAATCGTTTTGCATCGAAGACTGTGTTTTTAGGGTTCCTATGAAAGAGAAACAAATGTAATATCGATTAATATAACTACAAACATTTAATAGGCCTACATGAAACTTTATTTTCTTTTAATGTTTTATGAATCATGTCATGTGCGCCCGAATATTTTTATATTTAAGACAATTTTCTTCTAATCATGAAATAGTTAAAGCAGCATCAAAAATTTTGTCAAAGAAGAACTATGAAGCTAACTATAATTAAAGTGAAAACTGGCGCTCAATATAATGAATGTTCCTTCGGTCAGTAACCATCTCGTAGTTTGAAATGTGCATGACTATCGAAAATCAAGTGTATATTATAAGTAAATAATCATGTTGTTAAATTATTAGCTTCAATTTTAATATTTTTAATATTCTTATTAACAGACTTTTTTTTGGTAGCCGAGTATTCAAAAACTAAAATGTTGGCCTATTTGAAAAAAAAAACTTTACAAAAGTGCAGACGTTGTCTAAGCCTTGATCTTCGAATCGTATGTGACAAATTTGATGATGTCATATTTTACACCCCAAATATAGGTATATCACAGTGATTTGACGCATAAAATTTTATAGTGTGGACCATCTTTATTCATTATTACAAGATATAGTAGACCTATCTATTAGGCCTATGTACTTACATTGCAACCTGGTTCTTGGCAGCATCCCCGATGAGCCTCTCTGTTTCGGTAAACGCAACATAACTCGGTGTCGTCCTGTTTCCTTGATCGTTCGATATTATCTCCACTTTACCATTTTGGAACACACCAACACATGAGTAAGTTGTTCCCAAATCGATGCCGATAGCTTTTTGCGTCATGATGTAATTTCGACTTTACTATATTATTTTGAGTATCTGAAATACAATAGGTCTAATAATAAGAAGAATTAATAGGACAAACAAATAAAACATTAACAAACGAAAAATGCTTAATTTATTGGATCGTTCTTCATCACCATTAAACTATTGCAGGTTAAAAATAGATGTAGGTTAACGGGTGTATCTGTAATTCCATTAAATTAACTAGTGTCAAGAACACAACAGTAGCCAGCATATTTTAGATAAGTACGCATGATTCAACAGGGATAATAGCATTTGGTCTATAATTAATGCTTATAAGTATTCAAACGAACAAATACACTATGCCTATAAAATCATAGTACCTATAAATACGTACTTCAAAACATAATTGTATGGTCAAGCAAAGGCTGCTAAGTTTAATAGAGTAATACTTACTTGGAAATTCCAAAGCGTTCAGCTGTTTGCTTTTTCTATCCTCTTCGTTTCAAGTCTATGACTAAATTGCTAGAAAGAGTTTGTGGCCGATTATATACCTTAAACCGACGGAGTCGAGAAAGTTCGGAGCAGCTTCGAGAGCGTGCAAAAATAGACAATTACATCATCTGACGGGGATCGGAAGGCGTCCTCGTTTGGAATAGAATATTCTAGTAGAGTTCCTATTCCAAATGGCTGGAATATTCTGGAGCCTCTATAATATTCCAGGACATTGAATATGCAACTTATGATTTAGTATTCATTTCTGTTAAATGGTTTCGTATTGCCTCGATGCCTTCACCAGTAGATTTTTTCTAGGTTACTATAACAACTCCCTGATATGATCAATGTTTTCAATAATATATAAATTTAAAATTATTCCCCATGATGATAATGGTTTCATCTGAACTGACTAGGGATTTCCCCCTTGGGAACGGATAGACCGACAGGAGACCAAGGCCTGGGTTAAGTAATGTATATTAGTGATTGAAACCATCATTTTCTCTAAATATTTGCGACTAAGCTAAGCACCGGAACTGTAGGCGTTTTGAGATTTCTGTAGTCTTTCTATCAGGCTCCGAGACATAGCCTAGCCCTTCTTGCTAGCCCTCTGTCTAACTTTAGCCTCGAGCCTAGCCTAGGCTAGCTGTGAGGCAAACGGTACGGTAGCCGAGAGCTAGAAGCCTGGGTCGTGCAAGTGTAGCACTATACCGACGAACGAGGGAGCTGGTTCTGTGGAAAGTCTATGATAATTCAGGCCAACCAATCCAAGATGTTCTTGTTTATTTTGACGATATGTGCTGTCAATACAGTAAACGTTTGTAGTCAAGGAAAATTTGGTCGGTTGCACCTTTTTTTTTTGTGCTAAAATAAGGATACAGTAGTAGGGGGGGAAACAGGGGGTAGCCAGTGGCGTAATAATGCCTATGCGCTCTCGTGCAGCCGGAGTCCTCATGGCCGACCTGTTTGTAGGGGCCCCGAATGCCACCTACCCATGCCATAAGGTCCTCGATCTAGCCTAGTACCCTGACCAAAAGAGCTTTGTTGATACAGCATAATGTGTCTCTAATATCGACTGTAGAGTAGGACATATATCATATATCCAGTGACGGATTAAAAAGAGGGAGAATCTTCCACCCACCCCCACTCCCCCAAATTTGTCAAAAATTATTTTTTTTAAATGGCGATAAAAAGGAAATTATATTCAAATTTTAGGTTTGTGTGCCATTTCCGGCCAATCTCCGGCCATCTGAGGTTCCATAATCAAAATTGTTCTTACCTCGACCCCAACCGTGGGGCTCAGCGATATTAGACATTTTTTTTGTGAAAGTTTGTCATTACTAGGCCCCTCTATTTCAAAGTCTTGGATCTGTCACAGTGATATAATATCATTTATTTCATCGTAAAAACATTTAGAGAATGCAATGACAAACATGAATAAAAAATGGGCACATCTATTCCCACAATGGTATTGGCGACCAAGACCTAAAAAGGGCCCCTGGAACCACAGTTATGTCACTGGGGGTAATCAGCAATTTTAAGATAATTAAATTATTGTTCGCAATTTGTTCCATTTCAAATGCTAGGTTTATTTGGCCTAATTAAATCATAAAGTACATTAATAAAATATATGTTTAAAATAAATGAAATGGTGGCCATTTTGGATTTGAATTTTGCAAATTTGAAGTGTAATATTATTTTAATTTTTGTTGTCACTTACAGTATATTAAAACGATTTTTAATATATAGATTTTATAACATGAATATTTACCATTATTTGTAATAAAATGTTTTAAAATGGCAGCCATCTTTTGAAATTGCTGGCCTACTCCTTGCACATGAAAAAAAATGTTGCACATACATTTTATGTTCAGTAATGTCTATTTTGCTAATATCCAATTCTTTTAAAATGTAGCTAAAAAAATGCAAACCCTTATTTTGCTACATTTCGTACCAGACTATTGGCCCAATATCGTATTAATGTTTGCTGATGATCTTGGATATGGTGATTTACCAGCGTATGGGCACCCAACATCCTACGCACCAAATTTGGACCGTCTTGCAAACCAAGGCCTACTCTTCACCCAGTTTTATGTTGCCAATCCAGTGTGTACGCCCTCAAGGTAGTTTATTCTTTTCAACTTTTTATTCTGGATAGTATTTCTATGCAATAAATCCAAAAGTCACATTTTAGATAGTACCTGTAAAATATAAATTAAAGATTATAAAGAAAAGCATTAAAAAATCCTATTTAAATGCAAAGCAAACCAATTCCGTATAATATGTCAAAAAAAATTATCATATTGAATAAAGGACGTGATACATCATGTAGCATAGCTCTCAACGAATGTTGTCCTATAAATAAATACATTATATTGTGTAATAAAATGCCTGTGACGGGATTCGAAAACAATGTATTTATTCATTAATTATAGAAAAACATTCGTTGAGAGCTATGCTACACGATGTATCACATCATTTATTCAAACAGTGTATTTACCTTTCTTTGATGATTTATATATAATTTAACAGTGTTGAAGGCTATCTTCTTGATTTATATTATATTATATTATAATATTATATATATATATATATATTATATATATATATATATATTTGTATAAAAAACAATTTTTTAATTAATTTTTTTTATCAAATTGCTCTACTTTTATACAATTTAAAAACAATTATATATTGTTGATAGAGTTTTATATTTTTATTTCAATTTAAATATCAGATTGATGAATATATCTTTTTCTTTTACTCATGAAGAGTACATGTATTTCAAATGTATATTTTTGTTAACTTAGGGCATCATTAATGACTGGTCGTCATGTTCCCAGAACTGGTGTTTATCCAGGTGTCTTCTACCCATCATCCACCGGTGGTCTTCCACTAAATGAAACAACTATTGCCGAAGTACTGAAGACAGTGGGATACAACACCGGTCTCGTCGGCAAGTGGCATCTTGGTGTGGGAAAGCAGGGCATGTACTTACCGACCAAACAAGGATTCGATGAGTATTATGGGATACCATACACACATGATATGTGTCCTTGTGTCACATGTTTCTATCCGAAAGATCCTTGCTATTATTCATGTGACACACAATTTGTATCATGTCCGTTGTTTAAGGACGACACTCTCATTGAACAGCCAACAGATTTTGTTACCTTATCTGAACGATACACATCACAGGCTCGAAATTTCATATCAAAGTCAGTTCATGAGGCTAAACCATTTTTCCTGTACTTTGCATTCCATCATACCCATAATCCTCAGTTTGCTAGCAAGAAATTTCGAAACACAACAATCAGAGGTGCTTTTGGAGACTCTTTAGCTGAATTGGACTGGAGTGTAGGGGAAGTGATGCAACAACTTAGAGAAAGTGGCATTGAGAACAACACCTTTGTTTTCTTTACCTCAGACAATGGGTAATTTGAATACTTAATTTTTATAAACATTTTCACATGACCCATTCATACACAGTAGAACCCCTCCTTTGGGACACCCCTTTTAAGGGGACACTTTTTTTGGGTCCCAAGGGTGTCCCCTATAGGGGTTCTACTGTAATATGTAGTACTGTATATCAGTGTGAATCTGTTGTAAATTTTAAACGAATGAACCCACATTCCTCTTAAGTAGCACTTATTGCTAACTGATTAAGACTATAGTAAATGTATATTTTGTACAAGTATCAATCTATCAATTAACATGATTTTGAGTATGATAAATAAATCAATGTTAGTTGACTTGGCTCCCCCAAACTTGACATCTACTGTTTCTTACATATGGCATTTCGGTTTTTATTTTAATTACTCGGCCAGTTGTACATTGCATATGATTGATTCTGTCTGTATTCAATGACAAGTTTTCTCTGAAATCTGGGGCGGATGTGGTGGGGGTGAGGAGGTGGGGGTCCTTATTCTCAAACTTTTTGCACCTTAGCCTCAACCATGGTAGGGCTGAGGTGGTGTGGACTCTCACACAGCCCTTACCACCTAATTCTGCATCCACCCCAGGAAATGGATATCTACACTATATAAATCCATTATTAAATACAAATCTCCCTCTAATTAAAGACCTCTCCAATTAAAGACCACCTCCAATTAAGACTACTTTTTTGTGGTCCCAAATTAACAAATGTATTTTATCTTTATTATTCTAATTAGAGACTAAGGTTTCCAAAGCCGATGGAAATCCCGGTCCCAAAAGTGGTCTTTAATTGGGGTGGGGGGTGACCGGCATATTTTTATTAACTTTGTAATACCTACAGTATATCTGTGAAATAATTTCATATTGTTTATTATGAAAAAATAATGTGAGTCAGAATCCATAAATGAATGGTACATGCATTTTAGTTTCAAATTAGTTGTTTCTGGAGTAAAGCGCTTCTGAATACGGAACTAGATTTTGGTGCTATATAAAAGATTGGATTGGATTATCTATACGTTTATTTTGTATAGACCTTGCTTAGTGCATTTACTGAATGGAGGTAGTGCAGGGCCGTTAAAGTGCGGTAAAGGGACAACATATGAAGGAGGTCAACGAGTCCCTGCTATAGCATACTGGCCCAGTAGGATTCAAGTAGGAAGGACGTCCCACCTTGCCACCACTCTGGACTTGCTGCCCACCATTGCAAGTATTGTGGGCGCTCCGTTACCAAATGTAACCATCGATGGGGTTGATATATCCTCTATAATCTTCAAAGGAGAGAAGGTTAGTATTTTTTGCCCAGGTTTTGTGTTGATTGCATTTGCTGCAATGTAACTCATGGGTGTATGCAAGGGGAGGGGGGTCGGGAAGGTTGTACAACCCCCCCTCCCCAAAAAAGAAATTTTCAAATGCCCACATTTTTTTCCAAAGACATTTTTTCGAAGGCCTTTTCACAATAACATAAATGAAAAAGCATTGAAGTACCAGCAATGAGTCCAAAGACCTTGCTAATTTTGTGACTAATCTATCTCAATTCTAAAAAATTATGATCATGACCCACCCAGAAAAAATCCAGGATACACCCCTGTAACTGCAACACTAAAAAATACTTCACACAGTATCTAGGGAATGAAAGAAAACACGCACAAAGGCGTGAATATGTTCATTATTTAACCAGTGGACATGAAACATTATTATTTTTTCTTATTAAAATCATGTATTTCTAAATTTATAAAAGGTGGAGATGTATCTCCATATCAATGTTATCACCATAGATTAATACAAAGAAATATTATGTGTGTTCGTGGAATGATTTATTTGTTTGGAACATGTCGTAATTTGAAGTATTAATTTTTATTTTAATTATTGATAGATTTATAAATACTGTACAAGTTATCAATAATTTTATAAACTATTTTAATAGTTTATAAAACTGATAATTCTCTTTTTTTCAGAGCAATAGAAACACATTCTTTTACTATGCAACATATTGCAAACCAGAAATTGGCGTTTATGCTGTTCGTTATGAACAATTCAAGGCCCACTATTACACTGCAGGGGAGAGCAACTCAGGAAGGAATAACCATGACTTAGATTGCAGACCAAGCGCAAAGGAAACAGTGCATTCGCCTCCACTTCTCTACAACTTGAATGAGGATCTATCTGAGCAGTACGATTTGAGTAAAGATCCTAAATACGCATCAATCTTATCAAAAATTTATGAAATCAAAGTTAAATTTGAGGCAAACATGATATGGAGAGAAAGTGAAATTAAAAATAAGAAAGATCCCAGTGTAGAGCCATGTTGTAATGCAGGGTGTACCCCCTTCCCTGAATGCTGTAGCTGCACGTAAGCAGCAAAGAAAGCATGAATCACTAAGAGCGAACCAATGACCTTTAGGTTATAGTTATACCCTCTGTCAACTTAGACTCACCACCCTTGTTGGCAATGGTGGTTTTGCAGAGTAATTTTTTTTTGCTCGAATTGATGCATTGAACCTCATTATAGCTTCTGAGAAATATCAGGAATAGCAAAGAGTTCTATTAATTTGGCCCAATAACTAACATACGAAAATAGAGAAAATTGCTACAAAAATGTATTGAACCCATAATAGCCTACTGTGTATAGATTTTTATATTTATAGTTGTCTTGTAATTTTATCTGTGTGTATATTTTTTGTATTCCTCGCTCTGGAAAGCAAATTTCATTTACTTTGCTTGTACAGTATGTGACAATAAATGGAATCTTGTATATTGAATCTTGAATCTTGTGTATTGACCAACATCCAGGATAATGAGTGTACCCACATAACACACTTTTGGGTAAATTGTGCTGGACAACCTGAGTTTGTAAATTATTGTGAAACCCCAAAAAGTGAGCTATTAATCTTTATCGTGGAAAACAATGTAAATAATGTGCCATGCCAAGGCTTACCTGCCTAATAAAGGGCTTCGGGAATTTCTTTGTAGCATAAAACTGTAAGTCATTTCTAGTAAGGTTTTTTCCATGGGTATAGTGAAAACTAATAAACAATTCAGAAATAATAAGTAAGAACCCATTAATACTTTTATTTTCATATTTACAGTACATTTTTATCAAGAGATATACATTATATTACAAAAAAAATCCCATCAATTTTTTGGTTTAAAGTAAAAACTAAGACTAAAACTCTGCTCAAATTGCATTGTAAACGTAGCATCTAATGTTTACACAGTTCTTTGAATTATCCCATTTTGTCTATATTCTATTTATATCTATTCTAAGACATGTATATTTTTTTATCTGAAAGTCATTGTAACACTGAAAATGTATGTTTCCTTTACATTAAAGGATGCCAATTGGACATTAAACCGTGTTCAAGCATCTTTAAAATGGATTTTAATGTTTTAAATTTTGATACTGTATAAATAATGATAGATAATATTATATCATTCTATTTTTAGTGTTATTTTAACATTTTTTAGATTAAAATATAATTTGATACGGGGGACTAATTGCTATTTTTATACGTCAATAATGAGTTTGTCAAGCCTAATTACATTACAGTACTTTCAAGTAGACACGCCTTCAGCGTCATCCAATCAGATGGCTAAACTGATCAAGCCTAATTACATACGGTGCTTTCTTGTAGAGACATGCCTTCAGTGTCCTCCAATCAGATGGCTTTGTTGAAATACAGTACTTGACAAAATGAAAATGTCAACATTGACACGAAACATTTGACATTGTGTCGTTGAAACTTTAATAAATGTTTTTAATAATATTAATTGTTTCTTTATCTGAATCATTATGGTACAGTTTCTGTCCCTTTTGAATAATTATCATTCAGCTTTTCAAACACAGGTATTGGCGAGACGACCCGATGAAACCGCTGCAAGAAATTATAGAAATAATAAGATTAAGATACAGGATTTTATACTGTACCATTTTCCAATGGATAAATGGAGTTAAATAAAATATGGCTATATAGTACACAGAAAAATTCAACTACTGCAGAATTCTATAAAAAAAAAAAACACTCAACATCTTACCTCTGTTGTGATATTTTGTGATTTATCCGTGTGTCGAAAATATTTGGTTCCATATGGTAAATGTCCATAAGCTGATGTAGTGTGTAAAAGAGGATCATAATCTCTATGCCTTTTAGTACATGGCAAAAATCTGCAAGTAAAAAAAATTCTTTGATGAAGCTACCTTTGAGAGGATAGACTGACTTACAAGTTAACACTCACTGACAAATAAACCCTCACTGACTTACAAGTTAACACTCACTGACTTACAGTTAACACTCACTGACTAACAAAGCAACACTCACTGACTAACCCACACTTTCAAAGTCATTATGGAAGCCTCATTCATATGAAATAAGAGGAAGACTTACATGTTATCATTCACTCTCATCACCCATTCCTTCATCTTCATTGCATCTCTTGCTTCTTCAACCGATGCGAATGATGTTGCTACTCTCAGTGTCGGCTGCAGAGGTTTGTATCGCTGCTTAAGCACCTCATCTGGTGTTCGGAATGGGCCCTGCACAAATAAAAAATAAATTGCATTGCATATTATAAAACAAGTCTTGACACATTAGTAATACAGTATTTGTTGATATGCAGGAGTGCTATTTTATCGACATCAAAGCTCGACCATCGTTTACATAAGAGCCAATCACTATGTGAAAACTCATTTGCTTGAGTTTCTAATTACTTTTTAATAATGCACGGCACCACACGATAATTCTCCTGTTAGCTGGAAAGCTACAAATAGGAACTTACCTGTGGTTTCTGGCCTATTGGTGGAAGTGGGGTTGTGAGTGGTAAAGGTGGGCTGGCTGCAACAATCTTTCCAGAGCGGTTATCTCTTTTTAGTTTAGGACCTTTTGGTGGTCTTGGCTTCACACCTCTCAATAGGTACTCCATCTCATCTGGGTAGGGCTGGAAAGGTGAATTATAGATGCCTGGGATCTAAAATAATATAAAACAAGTGATTATTATAATGATGTATTTAATTTGTGGTCAACAGATATAAATTGTTTCCATAAAAATGGACACATCATGCCAATATTTAAATACTGTAGTTGATACCAGGAGTGACTCATAGCCTCTTGGATAAAGCAAATGTAGGTTCCTGTTCCAAGGATACAAGCATAAGTAATCAGTATAGAATTTTTAAATGATAAGCTAATGTACAGCATTACTTTACTGCCAAGCTTCAGGCATATACTGTAAAGTGATAAAACAAGTACAGTACACAATTGTGATTATTGCTTTTACCACTTCAGTGCTGAGCAAGTAATGTTTCTTCTGAGCTTCTGCTTCCAATTTATCTTTCATCTTTTGTTGTAGTTCTCGTTCACCCTCTGCAGCCTTTTGCTCACTGTACTCCTGTAATTGTTGTCTGAAATGGATAATGACTGATAATTTGTATAAAATAGATGTGAGTACTACACAGCGCTTCAAAATCCCGACTATCAGCATCTTCATTCTCAGGCCTGTAACAGTAACCAAAGTTTATTTTTAGTTTGGCCGACTCCTTTTTCCGATAGAACCCCTAAAAGTGTGTTACACGGTAAATAAGCCAGCTTGGCTTTTTAATACATTTTATTTTTAAGTTATTTTATTCTTATCCAGTAATGACAAATGACAAATGACAAATGATGCTCTATAAAATAAGTCTCTTTCTGAGATTTGAACCCAGAACCCTGGAATTGAAAGTCAAGCACCTCTAACCCATTAAGTTACAGCTTCACTAACTTTATTATTAATATTATTTATAATTAGTTTTATTCACACAATGTCTATTATGGCAATCATGAAGTACAGATTGATCACTCAACCTAACAGTTCAATGTTCCCCATTGCATCTCTAAAATATTAATTAGAAATTTTGCTAAAAGGGAAAAAGTAATACTGTACCTAACAAATTCATTCTTAATAACAAGTCCTTCCAGATACTTCTTTCGACTGTAGTAATTGTGAATATATTTCCTGGTGTAGTAACCTCTCCAGATTTTCTGAATCTATAGAAAAGTAACATCCAAAACACACTTTTGTTTATTATTATTGAAATAAGAAGAGGCACCACTCCTATGATGTTGGACCACAGACTCATGGCTTTCTCTACACTCAGTATTTGTTTTTAATATTTAATAAACAAATAATAAAAAGTTGTAAACCAACTTACTGCATGGTTCAATAAGTCAACAATTGCCAAATAATCTCCAAAGGGAATGGTTAAATACATAAATGAAATTATTAGTTTTTAATTAAAAATGTGCTATACAGTATAAGTTATTAATATTATTATTATACAAGAAGTACCAAAACCACGTTTCAAAGACTTGGGACACATTGCTTACAAAATATAAGAGCTGGGTATGGACTACTAATTCATACATACCCTAACTGCCATTGCATTGTAGAAATTTAATTGCATTTCCATCATCAATTTCTTAATCATAACCCTGAAGGCAGCACGTCCTAGGCAGCCACGCCATACTTTCTGAATTTTTGTTGCACAATGGTGTAGGAATTTGACATATGCTCTGACTCTTACAGCTCGGAACCAGGCTTGAATTTTTATGGCAGCTGCACACTCTTGCTGTCTTTCTTCTTCTGCTTTTCTATAACAAAAAAAAAAGCTGAAAATTACAAAAAAATTTTAGAGAGCCTGGACTAGGAGGCCCTAATTAATGACCAGTCAAACATGGGACTTATTAAATTCCCTGTGGCTAGAGATACGTTACCGTATTTGTACTTCAATATGATATTTACTAAAGCCTAAAGGTACGGTAAATTGAATTACGTCACCATCACACAATGGAAAGTCAGAATGTGCGTTACGTCATCTTTCAAGACTGGCATTGCAGATCACCCACGATGAACGGCGTATTAAATATTAGAGGAATTGAACAATTAGTTGTAATTTGTAATAACGACACTGGTGGTGGTGGTTTGGTACTAGGGCCCGGGGCCTAGCCTTAGTTAGCTAGTCCACAAACACAAACGGGTCCTCTCAGCTCAGTCTTCTTATCTACCCATGTGGGCCTACTAGGCCTAGGCCTCTACTAGCCTACTACTTAACCAAGGGTAGGACTTAGGAGGACGGCCTAGGCCTCTCTGGTCTAGGCTAGGTAGGCTAGCTACCTAGGCTAGGCTAAACAAAATAGGCCCCTACTGTACCCCCTAGACTAGCCTAGCCTGAGTAAGCCTAGGCCTAGCCTAGGCCTACAAAAGAGCAAACATTTATAGGAATTTACATACCTGTTTCTAGCAAAAACTTGCTCCATAATCTTTGGTGTTTTACTTATAAGGTGTACTATTTTTGCCATTGTCTTTCAATAAATATGCATTTTTCGTGCAAAACATACACTTCCTTCTAGTTCTTTACTCTTTACTATATCGATTGTTGAACTGTTGCTAAAGCAACTATGTTATATCTTGCCGTTGAGGGGGCTAGACAGACTGGCGTTGGAATCATGGATCAGGAATGGATCGAGCTGGTTCGTAAAAATCGCTATATTTAACTGTTTCCAACAAATATCTAGGCCTGGGGTCACGTCAAGGCATGGAGAAGATAATCCTTTGAAAATGAGTATTATAAACTGGTCATGTAATTGCTGATGGAAGGATTACTTGGGTAGGAACTAAGTACTAAGTATTGCATCTGTTTTAATGAATTCACATAGAACGAAACTTGTTTAACAAATGTATAACACTACTAACAGGCAGGCTGCGTTTCAATCATAGTTAAGAAGTAAACGTGTGAAGCTCCCGGCGGTAGGTCGTTTGACTGGCCAAATCATGGAATTCGATCCAACTCGGCCACAAGTCAACTCGGCCACAGTCAACTCGGCCACAAGTTAACTCGTTACAATTTTAGCAGCTGTCTCTTATACACATCTAGATGTGTATAAGAGACAGCGCTATCCTTAAGTTTATGTTACTGTGCATTTCCATACAAAAATCAAAATTTAACATAAACTTTATCAAGTTATACCAAACAAAATACATTTGTCTTTAGCTTACATCAATATAATATGTTGAAATAATACGTTCATGAGACCAAAATACACAGCCAAGCCTAATATAATATTTTAAAAGACGATAAATAGTAACGGACTTACTAGATTTTAAACTCACTGACTGTTCACGCAAAACACTGTTAATCTTTCCACCCTCCCTTTTCTGATTTTCAGTAGTTGGAAAAAGTGATGGAAGACTTAGTTCATGATTTAGCAGATGCACTTGACGTCCATGTTACGAATGCCGGACAAGATAACGACGGTCCATCATCAGGTATGACATCACCAAGGCAACTTAAAAGACAGTCTCGTAAACGACGTGGTAGGAAAAGAAGATGTGATCAGAACGCACTATGTGACTGCGGAAATTTGAGTAGTGGGTCTGATTCAAGTTACGACGGGGCTCTGAAAGACTATATGGAAAATATTAAAGCCCAGGAATTATTAAGTGACTCTGCCTCGGACGAAATGGTGGTGGTTCAACGACTGGCTTCATCATTGAATGTGACATCATCAACAAGTAATATATATGGTGAATCGGACTCTGTGACAGAAAACTACATTCATAAAAAACCACATCGTAAGAAAAAACGCATGCGCAGAATGATCATTGATCGCCAAACCAACTGTTTACAAAATGTACCTGTTCAAGATTATGCCCCACAGATTCGTAGAAAAGGAAAATTACGCAAGACAAAGAAAAACGATAATAAAGATAATAGTTCAGTTATAAATTTAAAAGGTAAATTTGGTTACAAAGTGGAAAAGCTAATCAATAATGAAAAAAATAAAGAGGGCAGTGTACAAAACATTGGGGATGGTAATAATGGAGCATCCTGTTCAGGGTGTCCAACCGGAAGTATGTCGGTTGAAGATATAAAATGTGAATCAAACATGATGGATTCATTAGCAGCAGATCAGGAAGATAGCATGGAGGACCTGGGAACACCTACAAGTGCTGGGACAGCTGAAGTGGAGAGCATCCAGGATAGCGATGTAACAATGGAAGCAAAAGACAGGGACACAGAAGAGTAAGTTAGACTTTTTATTAATTAGTTATTTTATTACAGTATTATACTGTAGTGTATATTATAACATTGTTTTTATTGTGCATCCATTAGGCAAAACTTTTTTTATTCCTTGTTTAGCGAATTTTTGGCCAATTAGCGTACCCGCCGCCACGAAAAAGTGAAAATATCAACAACAAAAAATGTTTTTCATTAACTTGGTTACGTCCTCCGTTGCCTTGAAATCTCCAAAGATAAGATATGTATATTTCTTCCTAATTATATAAATTTGAAGCATTTAACCATCCTATTTTACACTCACCAATAAATTTTTATCTTTATTTTCTCCTCCATCTGTATGATTTTGGCAAAACTATTTGCTAAATAAGAAAACACATTTTATTTTTATTCCGCCCTCCTTCGATAGTCTTTTAAAAGAATAAGTACGCGAAACAAGGAATAAAAAAGTCTTGCCTTATTAATAATAATTATATTTGTTTTTATTGGTCTGTTTTTTTGTTGTTACTTTTTGTTGTTGCTAAGTGCTATTATTGTTGGAAGTGGCTACATTGTAAATTGATATACCGTTCTGTTCTTTTCACACACGTAGTAAGAGGGGAGTGACTGTTGGGGTTAATGTGATACTCTCCTTAAAAATCTTCCCATGAAGGTAGTGTCAAAGGAGCATGCACGAAAAATGTTGTTCTGTGTAACAATAGCCAAGCTACAGTATTGAAAGAACGCAGGCTCTGAACAGTTTCATCAATTTTTGCGATTATCCACATTGATATTCCCGTTGCCTAGTAACAAGTGTATACAATATTTTTCACAGGTTTGCAGAAGACTGTTCTGGTCACAGTAGTAGTTTCAGCTCCTCGGATGATGATAACATTGTCATCTTTACAAATGATGAAGGCCGTGAAGGTGAGTTTTGAGGAAAGGAATTTAGTCTGTATCCAGTTTACCCTCCAATGCGAGACCACCTTTAGGACATGAAAATTTGGGGTGGTCTCTGGGTTTGGTTCCCGGGTTTGTTCCCCAATTAGAGGGATAGATTTGTGAAGATTGTTTTTTGGTTCTTGGAAAAAGTTTTCTCGAATTAGAGGGGTCGTGGAACTTTGGGGTCTCCATTGGAGGTGCACTGTAATAGAACCATGATGTTCTGATCCTTCTTGAGACTGATATACTAACATCTCTCAGAGACAATGCCCAAATGAGGAATTTCGTCACAATCATCTTAAATTGATAAAGGTGGTGTTGTGAACACAACTTCTCAATAGTCCGCTCTCTTAACCCTTTTTGCAGTAGTCTGCTCTCTTGACCCTTTTTACAGAATGCTTTTACCTCCACCAAAAGATAATGAATGAATGTTTCTTGTTCTGATGTTAGGAGATGATGAACAAAGTGATTTTTTCTACGAGCCTGGCGCAGTGTATGGAGTCCCTGGAATTATTCCTTGGTGGGAAAAGCAAGTGCATGAGGTTGATTCCAGATTCCAAAATATACTGGAAGGCAGTTTTCCAATGTTGTCAGTTTACTCCCAAAAAGGTTAGCTGTATAACTCCATTGTGTTACTTTTCACTTTTTTCACTAAAAAATTCAAGACAAAAATGATAAAATATAAGACAGAAATCTAAATATGAACATAGCACTGCCCTTAGAATATATGAGTGGAGTTGATTGCACAGGGTGCATTATAGTACATACATAATATGTATAATAAGAGGAACCATGGAACTATACGCACAGTATGATATGATGATTGGTATGATGTTCACTGGGTCTCATGAACCTATCCTATCGTCTACAGCACACAACATGCTACAGCTGATTCTAACTCATTTTCCTAAAAGACACCAAACCAATGCTATTCTTTTACCTAAATACTTTTCTATAATTCTCTTAACAGTAGTCACTGATCAGGCTCGGCATTATGAAAATGGCAGAAATAATTTGAGAGTTAGGGGCTCAAGAAGAAAAAGCAAGGCAAAGAAAGTAAGTCATGAAAGCAACATGGCTATTTTAGCTAAACTGCTGGTAGCCATTGTACGGAAGCTTAAAGTGACCTTCCGCGTTTCCGAATTTCCAAGATAATTATCTTAGAAACATGGAATAAATACTTATGACATCTTTCGAGATAATTTATCTCGGAAAGACGGATTTCTGAGATAATTTATCTTGGAAAGACGGAATTTTGTGTGTGCTGAACCATCTTTTCAGATTATTGGTCCCTGGTTCAATTCCATTCTCTGCTATCTCTCCTTGAGTCTTTCAGCTGGAGGTGTTACAATAGTGCATCGTCTTTCAAAACTAAAGTGCCTTTGAGCACTTTATAAATCTTATTATTGCTATTGGTCCAGTTATTCAATATGGCCATTATGTGTTAAAAACGTAGTACACTTTTGAGAAGATTGTCTAAATCTTTAAATTTGAAATCAGCCAATTTAAGTTAAATAATTATAAAAACAATATAATTATATAGATATGTTCAAACAAGCATCTTAGTTTTAACTACATTTTTGACAATTTAAAAATATTATGCAATTTATATATTTTAATTTTAGTTAAATATTGTATTAAATGCTTTTATGTGGTGTGTTAGTAAAAAATGCTGTTATTTTTATTTTCAGCAAAAGAAACCTAACTCTTTCCTACATGATGTTAATCAAAAATTAATACGTTTTCTGAAGAATCCACATGAAGAAGAGTGAGTAAAATTGACATGATGTTTCAAAATGCAACACAATTAAAACCGTTGTTGGGAGAAGTAGAGTTGCGGTTGTTTTCTGGAGTAAAAACGATGAGGGTTGTCATTAGATGAGTTATTAGATTAACAGTTTTTTGATAATTTTATTATCAACATGATTGTGCTTTGATGTAGGTGATCTCTCTCAGTTGGTCAGAATTGGAGAGGTACTTTTCTACAATATATATCTTTGATTGGTCATGTATAGAGACATCTATTTTGGTGGAAAACTTATTTGTTAAGGATTTCTTTTTGATGATCCAAAAAAAATATTTGAATAAATACGTTAACTTACGTTTTATTCTCAAAAACGTGGTTAAATGCCACAAAGTAGGCGGCAATGCCTTTACCATTTTTGTGTTAAACACCGTACAGTGTCTTCCGTCCTTGACAAGGGGAGTGCTAACCTGCTCTCCTTTCTTACAACAAAGGAAGAAGAAAGAAGATTAGCACTCCCTTGACAAGGATCATCAAAAAGAAATTCTTAACAAATACAGTCTAGAGATCCAAATGAATCTCTTCACTAATGTAAGAAAACATATTGTGGGGGCGGATTTGGGGGGGTGCCCAGCCCGGCCCTGGTCCCCCCTTTTGGGAGGTAAAAAGAAGAAAAAAAAGAAAGAAATTGAAAAAAATATAAGCCCAGAAGGCCTCAAATGTTATTTTCTGGCGTCTAGAACACAAAAATTTTGCGGGGGAATGCCCCCGGACCCCCTAGGACAGTGCTGTCTCGATTGGCCCAACTTTAGGCCCCCTTTCGGCCCTTCCCCCTTTTTGGACATCTCTGGATCCGCGCCTGTATTGACAGAGAGAATGTCAAAAGGAATCTCGGTTGATGATGCTTACCTGTGTGTTGTAGACAAAGCTGATACTTAGGTGGTGGCACACATTGTTAAAGAAGATATTGGATTAATACTAGTATTTAACTTGAATATGATGATATCAACCCATATTTATGTTCTACCATTTTGTATGTTTCTCTATTGGATAGGTTGTTATTAGTACCCATGAAAAAGAAGACACGTATTCAGGTCGGACAACTTGCTTCATTATATAATCTAGATATGAGGAATGAATGGACAACTAAAAAGTGCTCTCCAACACTTATTAAGACAAGGTAAATACACTTAATTAATAGAATCAAATTTAATTGCAGTACTAGACAACAGAAATATTAATTTTATAAGAATTTTGGAATTTCTGTAAGAATTTGTTTTCAATTAAATATTCATGTGAATGTTCAAATTTCTTGCTACTATCTTTCTGCTGAACATTCCTGAAGTTTAATTGACGAGTCCTCTCAAAGTGGTTGCTGTGGCACAGATGCTCTTAGTGTGGTCTCTTCTATTATTTCCAAAGGGTGTATATTTTAAATTGTTAGATTTTGATGATAATAGAAAATCTCAACAACAGTGTCTTACCATGTACCTGTTTTCGTTTTTTATCAGAAATACCTACCTCGTAGATCAAGAGTCTGTAGATGAATTCTTACTTGCAGTAGCATCCTCTAGCAATGGCAAGGTCAAACATTACCCCCCATTTCTTGACCCCAAAAGAAGGAGAAAGACTCCACCTCCAGCCACTCCATTCCAAGAAGGTAAAACATTAATTAATTTATTGATTTCTTAGTATTGTTATTACATGCATAAAATATTCCTTTAATGTTTCATGGCGAATATTAACATTAATGATACTTAACCTTTCAATACACTATGGATTGAAATAGGAAGGGAAAGGTGCTATATAAATTCTATATAACATAAGACACAACATTATTTCTGTATATTTTACCCAGTTTGTTATGGAGGCTCAATCCCCCTGTAAACAGTAGAAGAATGTTGTGCATTGTAGGCAGTGTACACCTTAGTTGTTGTTACAACTGTATTTTAAGCCTTGCTTCAACAAAATTACTATGATACTGCCGACAGCTATCAGCAATGATCATTGGTTGGTTGACTTGAGAGCCTTCCTGATTACATAAGGGTACAGTTACACAGTTTAGGGATTGCAGTAAAAACACTGTAGCGACATTGTAGCGATTTTATGAACAACAGGCTAGATAGCGTTGCCTAATTATTCAATTACGAACCACTATTTCTTTCTTGAATATACTTATTTGAATGATTTTTAAAATCTTGCCTCCTTAGGTTATGTTGATAGGTATTCGAATCCTGTACCGACTTCCAACGTCGGATATCAGATGCTCGAGAGCATGGGATGGAAACCTGGTTCAGGACTTGGAGCTAGTGGCTCTGGCATCAAAGAACCTATTAGGGCATTTCAGAGGCAGAAAAACAAGGGCCTAGGATATGATAAATTGCTTTCAAAATAGAAGGTTGGTTGTTCCTATACAAATATTATTTTGAAAATATAATTTTAAAGTAAACCTAACAAATATGAACTCTATATCAATAATATTGACAGAAATATTATTTTTAATGAAATATATACCAAAATATATTTTCATCAAAAACAAATGTGTGTAATATGTTTAGGTGAATGCTTTTGGATAATAACGTTTTGTCAAAATTCATCATAGATACATTTTCAAATTGAAATAAATTTCACTGCAGAACCTTGCTCAGGCTATTAACAGTTTTTATATTGTTTAGAAATACAACAACTCCTGTATAAAAGTCATAAAATTTCAAACTTGTTCATTAAAATATTGTTGGGTATACTGTATACTGAAATTGAATTTTTCTGATTCCAAGATGGTGCTTTGAATTAAACTGCTAATTAATAATGGCAGCAATTTTTAATCAAAAATGTAAAAAAAAAAAAAAAATCTTTGAGAGATTTGAAGTGGCAGAGAGAGGGGAACAAAAAGAGTGGGAGGAAAAAAGAGTGAAATGGTGGCTGAATAACAATCTGTTTTGCTGCTCAGATTTTAATCTTAGATTGAAAATTTTTTGTAAAATGTCTTAGGTTTTTCAAAATTGTGTTAATAATAAAGTTTTAACTATGTTTTTAATGCAATCATGGTAAAACAGTGTACATAACACAGAATTAGCATGTACTTTTGATTAGGAATTTGAAGTACTTTATAAATATGTGAATAATTGCAGGGTATATTGGTAGGCCTGCCCTACTAAATTTCAATGAACTTTGTATTGTTTTTAAAAACTATTATTTCAAATTTTCTACATCATTTTGATTAGTCATCAGAAAAGTAAGAAAAAATAAAATTCTTGACTTAGTGCACAATTTCTTGCATAATACTTATCAATGTGAGTGACCTCAATAGGACTTGACCTTCATTGTGGCACTATGTACTAAACTAGATTTCACCAATTAAATATCTTCTATTGTTAAGAGTATATTTACCACCTGATGATTAACCATTCGGGGATTAATTTTTTCAGAAAAACAATAAAATAAAATTGATTAAAATTATGATATTAAGGAATATTAATTATAGTTTTATTATTTAATATATGTCTCCCTCTGTAAACCTCTAGAATTTAGTGTCTTTAAGATTTATTATATTATTTTTCTAAATTGAAACCAAAACTGCCAAAGACCATGTACTGTAAAACCCAGCCTCAAGTGTGGTGTATAATTAGATCAAGACTGGTACTATTGTTTTATTATCATAATTTAATCATAATAATTGTAATAATGATGATAATATCATTAAATGAAAAAAAAACACTACATTACATATTTCTTCCCCTTTACAATCCATTTGAGTTTAATCATTCTCAAACTTAATATAGAATTTACTGGTTAACATGTATGCTGGTGAAAAGAAACAGTTTGAGTTGCGTTGCTTAATTTGTATATTAATAATGTAATTTATTTTTTTTAATTGACTACTAAAGCTACATTTATGCTAGACACGATTACAACACGACGACAAAACGATACAGATTCCCGCAGTGTTGAAGAATACAAACTGCGCGATATGTTGTTGTGTCGTTATCGTGTCTAGTGTAAATCTAGCTTAAGCCTGTTCACACTATCAAAAACTGTTCCATGCCCATATATAGTCATGATGTGCCCATATATAGTCATTATGTGCCCATATATAGTCATGATGTGCCTAAATATGATCATGATGTGCCCATATATAGTCATGATGTGCCTAAATATGATCATGATGTGATGTCATCAGGCGAGACTTGCTTTATACGTTGTTTCGCGAACATATTTTTAAAAAATAGTCAGAGGAGGGCGAAACAATAATACAAAATAAAATATTGTTTTCTTATTTAGCAAATAGTTTTTCCAAAAGCATCCAGGCGGAGGAGAAAATAAAAATAAAATGTTATTGGTTAATGTAAACAGTGTAGTAATGTGAAGGTTAAATGTTTTAAATTGATATAATTAGGAAGAAATATACATATCATATTTTTTTGGATTTCAAGGAAACGGCAGGCGTATTAAAAATAAAGAAAAAGTTTTTTTTTTTTCTGAAATTTCCATTTTTTGTGGCAGTGGGTGCGCTAAATGACCAAATTTTGTATTGGAAATCCTCATTATTGGCGGGCGGTGGGTTCGCTAAACAAGGTATAAACAAGTTTAGCCATAGGCCAGGACAGGCCAAGTCAGGCTGGGACGGGCTAGGCTTGGCCTGGCCCAGCTATGCTAGGCTTAGCCATAGGCCAGGACAGGCCAAGTCAGGCTGGGCTGGGACGGGCTAGGCTTGGCCTGGCCCAGCTATGCTAGGCTTAGCCCAGCCCTAATGGCGTGTCACATGTTTTTGTCAAATAAAATTTGATAGCCTGGACAGGTCTTTAGTCATTACTCTGTTTATACTCTTTACTCTTCTTATTTTACTGGCTTATATGTTTTTGTAGTAAAAAAAAGACTAGTACATCAGCAAAAAAACATTTTTTTTATCTGTCTTATTGGAATTTTATACGATGTTTGTGTTTAAAAATTTTTTTTTTTATAGATAATACAGTATAAATTATCTATAGTAATCCACGATATAGTTTGACTGGAACCACAAATGTATTTTTTGTAGAATACTTAAATTTAAACCAATTAAATGTATATGTACTGCTACAATCAATAAAAAAATTCTACAATCAACACCTAGTGTAAATACCTACAGTAATTAAATTATTTTGAAGACACAATGTATTATAACTGTGGGTCACTGTACTAAGTATCCTTAGTGTGTGCACTTTTCCTGTATACTTCCATTGATAAAGGAACAATATGACTACATTCAGCAGGAAACCACCTCCAATTTAAACGTTATCAATCATCGCAAAGTAAAGAAATCTGATTATTACAAGGAAGCATTGGTCTAAACAAGGCAATGGTTGTATTGCAAAACACTTTCATTTTCCCATTGATTTTGCTTTGTCACTTTAACCAATTTAATAAGTGTATAAGATGAACAGCGTCTTTTTTCTCATTACTTATCCTTACCACTGTTATTACACATGTATGATATTTGTTCCAACCCCTTTACATTCAAACAAGATAATATAATACATACAATGCACACCATTATGTTGGGATTCAATATTTCGACATTAATTATATCATCAGGAATTTAAACAACACTTTTAAAACAGAGGCATGCACTAAAGTGACAAACATAAAATGAAACCCATAACATAAATAAAAGATGTTAAAATATTTCCTTGAAGTTATATACTGTACATATTTATACATTTGATCACCAAAAACTGCAGTTAAAATATATGACTATTAAGATTTATATTTATAATGGTGTGAAAAAAGATAAAAATTAATATTAGGACTTCACAAAAAAAAAAACCAAAAAAACCAAAAAAACCAAAAAGACACTTCATTTAAAACTAATTCAAAAGTCATAGTAGGCCTACACATAGTTAGAAATTAGGTAGAATAGTTAAAATGGAAATAGATTTGTATACAGAAGTAAAAATGATTTTGAAATATCAATGATGACAGCATTTATTGTTTTGATAATTTAATGACTTTTTTAAAGTAACACGTTCAATACAACTTTCACAAAAGGTGTCCAATATAGATCTGATGCCTTCACGCTGTCTCTGACATGCGCACATTTCGGTATTGCCGAGTGACATCAGCCTTGCATGTAGGTTGCATTCTTAAAAATGCTCATATATTTCAAGATACTGACTAAGTATATGTTATATTTCCTTGAAATCCTGCATTCAAATTTCATAAGATACAAATGCAGAATATATTCAAATCCATTATTACATAGGCACACAATCCATCTGTGTTTCCTGACCATTAAAATAATAATCCCCATCAGTTATGCTCTGTATATATGTGCTAATCTGTTCAAGTGCCAGGAATTTGACTAATCCCATCTGAGAGTTTACCAGTAGTTCACTAATGTTTTTAATGATGGTCTTTTTTCTTAATCCGCTCCAGTGTAGAGTCTTTGATGACAAATCCTGCTCCATTGAGTAAGGAAGTTGGTTCACTCGTTCTGCTTCAGGGTAATCAAATTACTGTATATAATATCAGTATAAATCTACTGATTAATTACGATACTTTTGAAATAAGTCCATCGTTTTGCACGTAAATCCTACAGTTTGTTTCCTTCCAAGTTTGTAATTGCATTTTAAACTATGTACAAGAGCAGCTTTTTGGAGAACCAGGCACACAAAGGGCACTATTTTTTACCAACTGTACTATGCTGCTCTCTGCTTTACTGTAAAGTCATTATAATACTTCAGTAATATTGTTCACATTAATGGATTTTGCAGATTCATTATTGCATGTAACCAAAGACATCCATGATGGCTGCTGTCGCCATGCCACCGGCAAACATTGCGGGTACGGCTACGAAGGACAAGAAGTTGAGTGTTCCTAGTCCTGATAATCCATGCCCACTGTAAAGAAGTACAACAAGTATTAATTGTCTAATTGCATGGGAATCTTTTAAACCACAAATAATTACTCATTTGTGATTGTTAATGAGGATTGGTCAACACAGCAGAAAATAATTGCCTTTAGGCCAGTCACACACTGTATTACTGACCAAAGACTCTACATTATCTCCACCATGTTGTGTTAGTGCTTAACGGTATGACGCCATCAACAAGTTCAATTTCAGTTTATATTCTCATGTTCAAAATAAACAGTCAACATAATAATGATAACAGTTTATATTATGACTTAAAATAGAAAAATATCCTGTAAAAAAAATAATAAATAACAAGTTATATTATAAATTGTTTTCATTAAATAATAATAACAGTTTATATTATGACTTAGCCTCCAAATACACCATATTCAAATGATTAAAAACATGTAAAGTAGAGGGCAGTATTACCTTGTACAGCCTCCAGCAAGTCGTGCACCGAATACCATGAGGATACCTCCGACAAATGCGTCCACAGCACTGACACTTTCTGCGCTGCCAAGCGTATCTGATAGATACGCTGAAATGAATCCACCTAATATGGCAGATGTTACGTAGAATACCTGTAAAATATTTAAGTTTATATCATTTACAGTAATTGTCATAATAATGTTTAATAAATAAACATATTGTTATTTTATTTATTATATTATTAATGTATTAAGTATTATTATTACACCTTGTGGGGGTGGGGAGGAGGGATGGAAAAACATACATAGATAAAGTGTGTGGCCCGAGGGCACAAGGTAACGTCTAACATGAGATTTGAACCCCGAGAGTTTGAATCATAACCACTGCACCATTTACTTCTAAGTTGACATTATCCTCACCTGCCACCAGTTATCCATTCCACTGCTGAATTTTGCCAAATACGGTGACCACCTGCTGAGCCCGTCATGCGAGAAGGCCTGCGACACCATTGTACAGTAACTGCTACTGCCACCAAGTGTGTCCTCCACAGCAAGAATGATGGGAATTTGAAGCAGACCAACCAACGCACCTATCATAAAGATACAAACATTTTAATTGATCATTAATGTGGGAGATTGTGGCACAGTGGAATGGCTTTGGCTTCTAATTGAAAAAGTGTGGGTTCGAATCATATTGTGATAATTAGCTTAAAAAAGCCCGCAATTTCTCAGTCTTTTCCCCCTGGACCCCACCAGGGCGTTTTACCCATACACACTGCTGGTCTCCCATGGACATTTTTAGACCCCTGTCGGATAGTTTATCACCCATGTTTATGATTAATAATGTATGTGATTTGTTGCTTTTCTCTTTATCGTTCTACCTTAAATACATTGTTTCGAAAGTCCAAAGGTTTTAAATATTTACATTAATGCTACTGTTCCATTTTATAACACTTGGCCATCATTTGCAGATACTGATTGATACTGGTTGGCTTTACCACTAACAATGATTCATACAGTGAGGGAGATTATGTACATATTAAATTAGGTTATTTATTGTACTGCATTTTCTATAGGTAGCAAATTGCTTATCCACATGTTATTGTATTCAAGTATAATTATTATATCTGCATGATTGAACACTACAAAGTTCATGCAACCTGAGATTTGAGGGGGTTTGTGATTTTATAAGTACTGTGTCCTTCATATAATACAATGCAAGAATACCTGAGTCAATTGTGTAAAGTTAGTATAAACATACCAAGGTTTTTAGGGTATTGTGCAACAATGGAAACCTATTAATGTGGGTAGTGAGACTCGGCTGCACACCAACAAACTTGTTTCCCCCAAATTCTGATTGTAGGGATTTTCTTGTCACGATATCAGGATTTTTGCATTTCGAAATTATAGCAAAAAATGGTAATGGTAAACATCTAAATGAATTATTTTGGTCTGTGCTTCATTTGACCTTTTTAAATTATAGAATGCAGTGTAGGAGGGAAGGTTACATTATTATAAGTGCATGCTTTAACTAGAAATATTTTCTTCATTCTTATTTTCAATGGAAGGCAAATTGAAGGTTGATGTGGATGATAAGGTCACAAATATTTTTGTGCTGTCCAAGCACCGTAACACTTGGCATTAACTGTTTGTTGCTTGGAAATTCATGCTTAAAAAGTGAAAGATGGCATTTCAAACATCATACAAGTATTCTGGGCTTTTTGTGTTAAAAAAAAAAATAAAAAAATATCCCCACCAAAAAAAAAACAAACAAACAAAAAAAAACGATGGCCCTAGTTTTTTAAATGTTGGGTTGGTCGGGATTGGGCAGTGCATCATATTTCTAAAGATTCAGGTGCAGACAACTTTACCACATAAATATGAAGGCCAGGCTCTAAGATGAAGTATTGTTACACCAGGAGTTTGTGGGCTGGTCAACTCTGATGTCCACGGGAAACAGTACTCCACCAGAGCGACGATTGTCATCAGCATCGCTGCCAACGGTAACGCAATTTTAATGTACTTCATATTAAAATATTTTTCTAATCTGTAACAAAATTAAGAAAAAACTTATTATTAATCACAACACATTATGATGATGGTGTTGAAAGGTCAGATGAGAGGAGGACTAAATTCTTCAGATGTAAACTTGCAGGTGTAAATATTTGTTTGGTTTGTGTACACAAGTAGTTAGAGTAAGATAATGTGTTATCTTAGCTCCTTCAAGCTTGTAGAGGTCATAACATGGATACTGGTCAGTTTTGTAGACTATTAAGTTTGACCACATGTAGTGAAACTAAAAAAAGCAAGCAAGCACTATACTAGGCCTCCAGACGGTACTGAAATTGTCATGGGAAAAGTTGAAAAGGCATTTGGGCCAAGGGTACAAAAGGTGCAGAATCGTAACAGATATGATAAGTGGAAATTTGGAATGAAAGCTTAGGTTCTCGCCTTGCAATCCTAATTGTCATAGGTTCTAATCCTGACAAAGTCATTATTTTTCTCAACAAAAACGACTCGCCTCCCAAAGAAGTAGTGGTGCCAGTGGTGAAATTTTCTCCGTATGGAAATGTGTTTATTGTACTGTATAGCATCGAGAATTCTATGGCCAGCTTCCTGACACATTATTACCTCTATTAAGTATAATGATGTAAACATACACTGTAGGTAAAAGGTTTGAGAGCCGATCTTGAAATGTGTGATAAGTGTGCTTGTCAGTGGCGTAGCTACGGCCAGTGCAGCCAGTGCAAAAAGTTGAAAAGGCATTTGGGCCAAGGGTACAAAAGGTGCAGAATCGTAACAGATATGATAAGTGGAAATTTGGAATGAAAGCTTAGGTTCTCGCCTTGCAATCCTAATTGTCATAGGTTCTAATCCTGACAAAGTCATTATTTTTCTCAACAAAAACGACTCGCCTCCCAAAGAAGTAGTGGTGCCAGTGGTGAAATTTTCTCCGTATGGAAATGTGTTTATTGTACTGTATAGCATCGAGAATTCTATGGCCAGCTTCCTGACACATTATTACCTCTATTAAGTATAATGATGTAAACATACACTGTAGGTAAAAGGTTTGATAGCCGATCTTGAAATGTGTGATAAGTGTGCTTGTCAGTGACGTAGCTACGGGCAATGCAGCCAGTGTAAAGCGCTGACCTATGCATAGTCCATTTCCGGCCATCTAGAGACGCTGTAATCATACAATTTTGTACCTCAGCCCCAACCATGGTAGGGCTGAGGTGGTCTTCATTCTTCACCTGTGAAAATCCCTCCCTGGGCCCTCTATTTACAATTCTGTGATCCGCCACTGCAATTGTTTAATTTTACTTGCCATCAAATTTTCCTGATTAGTTTAGAACAGCTGCTGAGACCGAATATGCCCCTCTTAAAATAGTTACGATTTCATTAGTATTTATTACTAAATACTAATGAAATCGTAAGTATTTATTACTAACCCATGCCTTTAGGTGTAGTGGGTAAAAGAAGCAATTCTTAGATGAATTTTCTTTAGGGAATTCCCCTATCACATCAAAGGACCCGCAATTATCTTGCACGGGGCCTGTTCACACCTAGCTACGCCGCTAGTGCTTATCTACAGTTTGCATTTCATTTATATTTTGTGTAGCTCTCGCGGTGGAATGGGTGGGATTGGAGCTTCGTCCTTTAGTGTATGAATTAATCTTCCTATATCATTCATAGATTTAAATGGCAGAATTGATGGGAAAATAACTTACGTGTAGGTTTTGAAATTTGCAGGTGTCATATAACTCATAATAGAAGACTCAAACAATCCAAATATCAAGGCTCCGACTAAACATCCAATAAATGTTGTTCCTTTTTAAAAATTAATATAATTATAATACAATTATAGATCTAATGATTGCTTAGTATAATAAGTATGTTTGCTTAGGCCTACTCCTATTTGCTGTATAGAAATATAAACATAACATAAAAAATAGGTAAATAATAACAATGTTCAGCTGTTGAAATGTGCCTCATGATAATGTATAAAAGTTCTTGAAGAGCACAAGCTCGAAAGCTAGAATAAAGTGATTATGTTTTGTTATACATCATAGCCTTCAAATATTTCTTCCGTTATTTTATTTTATCATTATTCCGATTTTTGTGATGGGATTGAGGGAAGTGGTTCATACCTGCATTGTTCACTCCTGATCCGACTTGAATAAGCACATTTCCTGGGCACTAATAAAAACATGAATACAGTAACACGTCAAGTTGACCAAATATTTTTAAGCAGGCGATCTACGTTTAAAAGCTTTAATTTAATATTCAACAAAGTTCTTTGATCTTTTCTTCATTTCAAGAGGTTGGAGTCATTTTTAAAGGTTATTTATATTTTAAACCTATTGGTTTCTTTTTATTTAACATTAAAATTACATAACAAATATACCTAAAGCTGTAACAGTACCATGTAGACGTCCTTCCAAAAGATCGAACCACCTGACCGTGACCCATAAAAAAAAATCACTGACTAAAGTATATTGAAATGACTACATCGAGATTTCAGAACAACACCCACAGGCAGACATTTCAAAATCTATCTTTTTGAGATTTAAGTTTTTGAATTGACTTACTCCTCCAGATAACGTCATACCCACTCCTAGAAGTGCTCCACCTAGACCTGTATCGGTGATACTTTTGGAGAAAACTCCAGACAGGTAGTTTCGACTAGCTGTTTGGAATGACATTTTGAAGACTGGTATGATGGACATTACAGAAAAGCAAATTAAACTGGAAGCAACTGCTGACAAAAACATCTTCATCATAACAAACTTCTTAAATTGCATCTGTTGCCTGATCAGCCACGGTTCAAATACTAAAATGAAACATTACAAATACTGTAGTAGTTTGTTATTGTGAAAAAACGAAGTGTCCACTGGATTTGAATCCAAGGCACTACAATTACTATTTGGTTGTTTTAACACCTGGACTATCATGCTATTTGTAGAATAGGACGTAAGTGCTAAGCGCAGTGGTGGTGCACTTGCGCGTAAAATCTCGTACGTATGTACGGAAGAATAATCGTTTCTCAAATTATGATGAAAATACGAATTAGTTTTGTTCCGCGGAAGTCCTACATTCGGGATCAAGGAACAGAGCAAAGTATAGTATGTGAACCGTCTGATGTACATTTTTATCAGTATGAAGAAATGTAATACCGTGGGCTCCTCTTGTAAGCTGCATCCATCCCTCCATAAGGAGTATTTTCGCAACTTAAAAGCATGTGCGGTGCGGGAAACAAAATCTACCAGAGTGGAGTGGGCTCACCCACTATATTACGTGAATAAGTGGGACTGACAGTTTATTATTAGGTTTTCTCTTGGATACCTTCTTCCAACCCTCAAGTTCATCTGTAGTGACATGACGCTAATTGAATAAGATTTCCTCGTATCGGGAGCAAGTTCAAGTACGCACCCCTGCTATGGGATGCCGCGTCGCCATGGATATAATTCATGTCTTGAATATTGTTTGTTTTTCCTACATATTTATTGAGATTCAATTTCCTCTCAATTTTTGCAAAGTTATGTTTTTTTTGTGAAAGGGTCACGGTTTCTGTTTCTTTCTGGAATTTATCGCAGACATAGGCCTATAACTCCGTTTCGTTTTGTACTAATTCAACGCCATTAACCGGCCCCTTATGCAATAGTTGCCCGTTAAATGGTATCCAAGGCCTAGTTTATGGTGAAGGTTAAAGTTGGACATGATAATTTTCATGATATATTTGATAACGATCATGTTGGACAAACAAAATTATAATCATCTTCGATAATTAAGGTCTAGCATTATCGTCATCTCTCCTGCCACTGTCGTCATCGTTATCATCATCAGTATCGTCATAATTATCATCCTTATTATAATCATCATCATTTCCGTACTTCATGTCCTTTAAGTTGTACATTATTCTAGTAAACAAATGAGAAATATTTTGCAAAAAAAAAATTTAAAAATGGAGGAAATGAAATGGCGTCTTTCAAATTTTGAAATTAAACTATTTAAATAAAGTACCTCTTCCCTTTTCCATCGCAAATCCAAAAACTATTCCCGCCAATGCGCACACCAGTAACTGAGCCGATTTTCTCCACCATGTCGTCTGCTTGTTGATAATTAATGCTTCGTCCAAGACGTCGCTCTCCAGTACACTCGGCACCCCATTACTATTCGGATCTTCACTGGTCACACGGGAATACATATGCTGATCTGAACTTTTGTCAGTACTTCTGGCTCTTGTGGTCATGTTAGCCATCGCCTGTGGGTGGGTTAACTCCTCTGAGTCCGTTATTTTGAGGATACAATGACGTCACTAAGAGGTAGGCATATATCTACTAGCCAGAGTCCTACAGCAACGAACGTATTTTCCACCTACCAAGACCCACGTATTAAACAATAATACATTTATTTATTGATCAAATACGCAATTTAACTAGATTAAAAATTAAAAAATAATAATATTTACTACATACAGTATCGCATAGTCTAATATATATTATCACCACAAAAAGAGATCATATTAAAAATGTATTAAAATATAATAGGGCTTACCAGGCCCAAATTAATAATAATATACTCAATATGAAAATTTTTAACATTTTCGATTGAATGAACAAAAAAAATAATTCTATACATTTAAAAATAGGACTGTAAATATAATATTACTCACTGTAAATATGTAAATAGGCCTACTTAATATTTATGTAGGCCGCGCCAGCTTTTCATAATGCTCAATAAAATTTATACAATTTATGGCATAAGCCTACCATGCATACTACCAGTATTTAACTATAGATTATTTGACATTGATATGCTTCGAACCAAATTCAGCCAGACCAAAAAATCTATAGAATTGAAAATGAATTGCACCTGTTATTAGTCTTACAATCAATTTTTATTGTTATAATTGTTAAATTATCAACGGCTATACAACGTGGTGATGATAAAATTGAAAATCGATACGAGTTCACTTATCATGGCTACAGTATTACAGGTTATCATAATTATGCTACATACACTGAAAAATGACGAATGTTTTATCATGGAGGAAATAGAAACTATTTCCTCCATGGTTTTATAGTCAATAACAGTTAGGTCTTCATTTCTCAAGCTATTATGCTCGTTCTAATTCGATGGGACACTATAGGCTATAATTGCAACTTACAATATAGATTTCTCGCACGGCGTGAATAAAGCGTCTCTGTGTGCAGTAACAACAAAGTAACAGCCAGAGTAGTAATGTAGGCTAGTTAGAATAGTAGCAGCAACTTAACTCCACCGTTGTACAATGCCTACCCAATGTGAGCAGAAAAAACGTAAATATCGTATTAAACTTTTCCTAAGAATGACTTGTTGGCAAGTATAATTCCATGTTCAAGAAAGTTATATTCTTTAAGCATGCGCAGTATTCAATCGATTCACACGTTCGCGGCTCTCCTGTTGTTTCCCGTGCGTCATGCCAACTCTTCTACTACCAGCCGTATGTTTTCTTTTTTCTTGTATGTTCAAAACTGGTTTTAAGTGGAACGCTGTAATCCATGCGCGGTCTCCTTTTTGTAGAATTCAGTTCGTTCAATCCTATTAGAGTAAGCCTCTCTGCACGATTGCTTAGACGTTGTATCAGTTCCTCGAAGCGTAGCAAAGTTGTTCAGATATTGTACCAGTTCCCCGAAGCGTAGCGTTTGTTCAGAAATCATTGCCACAGAACACTGATCGTATTTCGTCATTCACAATCACCACCTGAACACCCAGTCACGGTCAAAATACTTCGAAAAAACGACGTTATCTCTCTCTCTGTATTTTAAACTGAGCGATTTGCAAACTCAGGATATGCACCAACATTACCTTTGGCGACAAATAAAGACAATTATAAGTGAAAACGAAAACATTGGTCACCAACAAAAACACCATTAAACGAGGACACCCGTTATTAAATTATCCGGTTTCATATTCTCCGTTTTTCTCTCATCACAACATTCATTATTCATTTTTAACATAATGATTACGGTAACTGTTTTTCTAGGAAGAAAAATCCAGTAATCCAAAAACTTATTGACATCATCAATTTACAATCATTACACAGCAGACTACACAAAAGCATAAATTACATTAAAAAAATTAAAAAAATTAAAAAATCATGATCGTATGGCGAACGTAAAACGTGCGACACAGCTTCCTCGTATCGACATAGTTGGAAACATGTATTTTACTACAGTCACATATTTATTCAGTCATTAGGCCTAATGAATACATTATGTATATTTTTATCCCGTTAATATCAGGCCTATATTTCTAATGTTACGATTGTAGCATATTTTATGCAATGTTTATTGTTGTTTGTTTTAAAAGTATGTTTGTATGTACTTTGAAATAAAATACATTTCCGGGGGTTATTGAATAAATAATCAGTTATCTATCAAGCACCTATCCGGGCATTCTGTTATTGAATAAATAATCAGTTATCTATCAAGCACCTATCCGGGCATTCTGTTATTTTACCGCGACTGAGACAAAAGGTCAAACCCGATATGTACAGATACAGTTGAATGTTGAGTCTTTATATAGGCCTAATAAGTATAATAATGACTTAAGCATTTTAGATTGATAAGAAGAAGCAATAACCTCTCGGTCACTTTATAATTACTGTGTGCTGATGAGTAATAGGGCTACTTCTTAAATGAGCTTTGTGCACACGTGTACTTGACGCTTAACGCCCGTAGCCGTTTGAACTTAAAAATTAAATATCCGGGTGTAAAAATAATATTGAAGGATACGCAGGATACGAATAGAATTTATCTGTTTATATAATACTTAAGGTTTTCTAAAAAGTAATACACTGGGGCCCACTGGGCCTACACAAACAAAAAAAGATTTCCTTCCTGAGTGAGTCACACTGTTGACGAGAGAGGGCGCTTGTATGCTATCTTATTCAGATCATATTTTACTCTAATTTTATTCTTATGCAAAGCCGTCAGTTCGTTGTGCATGTCACTCCTCTTTTCATTACTGAGTTGAGTGAGTATTGCATTCATTTATTCATTCGTGTCTATATTAATAATGCACGAAATCTATGTACAATACAATAATCAATGAAAAAATAGTGTATACATTACAATTTTGCAATAGATAATTGGGTCTATCGAATTATGACTATTGACCAATATTAAACTCGGGAAAATTACTTATCACTGCCAACCTTAACAATCAGAATTACATGAAATACATAACAATACATAGACAATGAAGTTATTATTAATAAAGCAAAATGACATAAAATATGAAAATAGTGAATTCAGCGGATAAGTTAAATTCAATAAAACGTCATAAGGCCAAAAAAAAAATAAAAAAAAAAATGTGTTGGCCACGTTTTGGGAAAATCCAAAAACTGGGTAGGTCGGTAAGAAAACTTTTTTTTTTTTAATTTTTCTTAAATTTTTCTTTTTTAACAACCAAAAATGTGTTTACACCTAAAAAGGAGAAAATACACAAATAATACAATAATTTTGGATTCGCATCGTGTAGGCTAATCAAGTAAAATAGGCTTGCCTTGGCCCCCTAGCCTGACCAAGGCTATTTCAGTCTTATTTGCTCATTAAAAAAGAAAATATTGTTCGTTGTAGATAAGGCAAAAAAAACCAAAAAAACAAAACTAAACTGCCGACCCTGAAGATTTAGGTCGGTCGGGCGTGCTCAACACAATTTTTTGTTTTGTTTTTGTTCTTTTTTTCGCATAATGAAAAATATTACGGTTCTGCAGCTCCAGCTTCAAGTATTCAGAGGTACGCTACATAGTAGACAAATGTTTGCTGTTTTTTTTTTAAAAACCCGGTTATATTATTCTAAAAATATAGCCTATTAAATCCTCAAAGGAAGTAAAATTCACACACAAATGGAAAAACCTATGGCGTTTAGTTAAACGCCGTGGAGAGCATTGCGTTCCTGCAAAGTATACCGTATATGGTAATGGTATATTAATTGCTGTTCTTTTGAACACCGTATAACGTAAGTCGCATAATACTGTTGAGATTCACCATACTATCAGTTTGAGTAACTTTTAAAGTTTATTTTGAAATTTTAAAAATTAAAATAAAAAAAAACAAAGGAGTCCACAACAGAAAGGCGGCCCGAGGACTTATCTACCAGACCTCTGGACCTACTGAAGATTGAGACAAAAGTCTGTGAATTTATAAAGTGATCAAGTTTGCAGATACAAAGCTGCATTATTGAAAGTTGCTAGAGGGCATGCAAGTATTGGTTTTTGAAAAAAAAAAAAATTCTTGAGGCAATTTAAATCTAAATTGTTGTATTTTGGCCCTGGGGGCGGATGCGAAGGGTTTGGGGGAGGGTGCAACGGTGCGATATCGCACCCTCCTAACTTTGTATTAAGAAAAATAATTATTGTTGATATATATTATTATTCTTATCATTAAAAATATAGTACCAGTAAGATTTTAAAAGTATGCGATTGCATTTCCGGCACCTTAAGATTCATATTCTTAACTTTTCACGCACCTCCTACCACCAAATTTGCATCCACCCCAGAGGCCTAGACATGTAATGAGTTTACTAGTTTTCATCTTATTATTAGTGACGATATCGGTGAAAATATGTTAGCCCATTATTATTTCAAATCTCATAAGATCTCCCAAGCAATCCAGGCGAAAACGGTGATAGATGTATTCTATTAATTCTTTAAGGGGCTATTACTGTAACGTACAGACAAAGATATTTTTCGGTTAAGATTTTAATTAAAAGAGGGACAGGGATTGGTTTATGATGATTTTGATGCAATTTAAATCTAATGTGTTGTATTGTATATTGAGTTTGTTATAATCTTACAATAAAGAGGTGATGATAATTTTGCCGATAGTATTTTAAACTTTAGGCCTATCCCAAGCAACCATGCGAAAAAGGTGATAGATAATAAGATTATGTATTCTTGTGAATAATATTACTCTGTAACTGACCAAGAAATGTTTCGGTTATGATTTTAATTGAAAGTTACTAAATTACCGGTACATAGGCGCCAATTATACCAGGGAACAGTCAATTATACCCCCAATATTGTCCTGTATGGGGATCTCTGTGTGCAATTTGTTTACATTAGGGCGCCCTCATGCTGTTGTATGACGATTTCGACAAAACAAACATGTCAGCGATAACAATAAGCAGAGTACTTTTGCTTGATTGTTTCTTTTAAATAATTTTACTGAGAAAATAGCCGAATATAGGTAGACTTCACAATCTTCACAATGCCTTGGTTTTTTCCATGGCCAGATTATATAAAAAAGAAAGCGTGTAGGTACCTATTACAGCATTATGTTGGGAGTTTTCTTGAGGAAAAGTTGACGCTTGATCAACTCAGTGTAGATTTGTATAATGGAACTGGTACAGTAACTGACGTTCGTCTTGATGTTTGGGTAAGTAGTAGGGCTGGGCTGAGGCCTAGACGTTTTCCAGGATCTCAAAAAATACCATGTTTGATTATCACATCAGGAATATGACTTATAGTAAATTTAATTTGATGTGTTTGGAGTAGGTGACACGATGATCTGACCATGCAGGAGGAGGTTGACTAATGCCTGGCTACTCATCATAATATGTCTGCATGATTTTGGAATTTTGCAAGCCCCAAACCAGTATCAGACTAGGCCTAGGCCTATACAGTAGTATGTCTAGGCCTAGGCTAATTTGGGATTTTCCCTCAGCTGAATTGTGAACAGACTAGACTAAAGTAATTATCAGTCATTTTCATTCATTTCATTTTATTCAGGAATTAAAATCATAGATTACTTGAAAATAAAACAAATACAAAGAACAAATAAATGATAAAGAACAAGAATGATAAAACATTAATTCATAGCCAATTTTGTATTCATTCCCAATCTTAAATTTTAAGGAATCATTATATTAGTATCATTCATATAATTTGATATTCAGTTTTGAATTTTTAAAGGATTTTAAAGAAATTTTTAACAAGTTTAACAAATCTTGTTGTAAATCACTGAATGCACGTTTTATAATGTTTTTAAGGCGTTAAATGAGCTACTGAACAATGCGAATGCCCCAGTAGAGATTCGTGATGGAGTGATTGGAAGTATAACAGTATCAATACCATGGAAGGCACTGCTTACAGCAAACAGCAAGGTTGAGGTTAAAGGGATGACTATTACTCTTCAGCCAAAATACAGGAGTGAAACGGATGCAGGTACGTATTTTACAAATACAGCAAAAAACGAAATTAGATAAATCTGATTGGGATCAACACTGGGAGAATAACCAGTTAAGTTGCTCAACTCAAGCGTTATAGTCTCCCTGTATGTACTGTACAAGGTTTAAAAATTTGTATGTTATCCTTCAGGTGGGGAATTAAGCAGTTGAGTTTAGTGATCTGTGAAACTAATTTAAAATTGATGTGAAAGTGGTGGTGGGGGGGGGGGGTGGTTGTTGAAGTTTCAGAATTTTAACAAAATAGGAAATCTACATTTGTTAATACATTAATTGTTATTGTCGTTATGGAATAGACAATAACTGGATTCTTTCGCAATTGTTTTCACATGTACTGAGTATTCAGTACATGTACTGAGTATTTAGTACATTTCCACGTAAGGTAGGGCAAAAAATTACACCAATAAAATGTACATATTTTTTTTATTTTTTTTTTGTTTTTTTGAAAGTATGTGTTATTTTAGTCTGTGTTATCTGTAAAATATACTGGGTAAACAGTGTCATTTCTCTCAACCTAATTATTCTTGCTGTTCTACTGTACCCATTAATTGCAATTTTATTTTTTTATGCAGTAAGCTATGATTGATTGATGTTTGTTTTTGATTAATTATCTCCTACAGCATTTGGGAACTCTGTTAACTCTATGTGGAGCAGCATGAGTATGACAAACAGTATGCAACTTGCCCAGGAATGCTTGAAACAGGATCCCTCAGAAGGCGAGCAGCAGGCAGAGGACACTAAGCCTTTAGAGGGCCTAGAGATGTTTGCCCAGACTATTGAATCAGGTACTGTACTGCAGTGAAACTATTGTTCATTAAAAAAGCAGAGGCATTTGTTCAATGTTGTTCAAAACTGAAACTCAGTTAGTCAAAAGTAGACATGAAGCATATTTATTAGGCGTGCCTCCCACCCAAACCCAAGGTCCATGCCTCCCAACCAAACCCAAGGTCCTAGGTTCCAATTTTATACAATGCTAAGTTCGGTAGTTGCTGTCAAGGAAGATAGTAACAAGCTCATAATAATTCTGGATTTCCTTATTAATTGTGCTTTTATGTAAACAACCTCAAAGAATATGATTTCTTTCAGTCTTAACAAGAGTGGAAGTGTCTCTTACTGACACTTGTATTAGACTGGAACATTTGCCATTGAAATCTTCATCTGGAATTGCAGCAGAAATTAGAATACAAAGGTGAGTGCAATTGATGTTGCCATGTTGAGATATATAATTGATATACCCATAATTGGGGATTGGGTGTAATATGACATCACATACCCATATATTGGCATATCACATAAGGTTGTCATATAAAGTTTGATAGTGTTGTGGACTGAGCTTTAGCTTATCTAATAAAACAAGTTCTCGTAATTTCGAAAGCTCCGATGAAGGGCAGTATAATAGAGGCTTAGAGTATATTGGCCCTAACGGTCACCCATCCAAAGAAGATCTATTTGTCAATCAGCCTGCTCAGCCCGCCCTCATCTGAGCTCTAAAATAGATCTATTAATCAATCAGCACTCAACCTGCCCTCATCTGAGCTCCAAAAAAGATCTACTGTATTAATCAATCAGCTGGGTATTCTTAGAGCTCCTTATCTGAGCGAAAAATCTAGAGCTTCTTTACTGATCACTGGAGGATCACTGGCATTAACAAATAATAAATAATTTTAGAATCAACTACTTTGATGATGTGGCTAAAGACATGTCTGACCAAGGAAGTAGTGTCGACCCAGGGATGCCAAAGAGATTCGAACCAGCTGCTGTAGCAGTCAAGAACCTACAGATGTTTGGTCTTACTGTGCATTGTGAAGAATTTTCAGAGGAAAGAAGAGAATCGTCAGAGAGCACAAGTGAACCTCTTCAGTCACCACAGCCATTTGAATCTCTAGCTTACTCACCTCCAATGCCGCCACAGCATCAGCAGATGGAGAGAGGAATCTCAGCAAAACCGCCAACACAGGACAAGCCCATGCTGGAATCGGCAGTCATTGGTAGTTGTACAGGGAAGCAGGAGCTGAAGATTAAAATAAAGCAGAATGAAGCACTGAGTGGACCAAAGGTAAGCAGATTATTATTACTTGTTACTTAAAATTATTATTATAGAGGGTGTTACCATGATCAAGATAATATGTCTGTTACTCACAATGGTTTTGGGCTTTCATTTGGATTTGATTACTAAATTTCTTGGTTGGTAGAACAAAAACTTCTTGGATAAAGACTTAAAATGGAATTGCAGTGTACATATCTGGCTTGTGTGCATTTTGAAGAACCCATTGCATCTTTCGCAAGAGTGGGGGGTTACCCCGATGCGCGATTCATTTCAGCCCTGTCATGGAAATGATGTGAACATGAAGCTACTATAAGCACCATGCCTGTACGCAATTTAGCACAATGACGCTGCAATATGAGTTATTCTCCTACCTTTACCTTAATACATGTAATGGTACTTTAATGAAATATTAATTGAAATATTCTTGTAACCTAAGGCTGAAGTGGAGTGTTTCTTGGGATCAATGAATTGGTTCTTCTCACCAAAGCAGATCAACTTCTTGACAGAGCTTCTAAATGGGTTCAGTACTCCTGGTAAGTAATTAAATTGTAGACATTTATTTACAATCCTGCTTACTGAACCAGTAAGTACAGACAGTACCAACAAGATATTTTAGTTTAGCAGCTGTCATGTGTACAAGTATTTTTGTGTATCTTTAGCCTCCCCCTCCTTTTCCAGCATTGTGATGATTACTCAATGAAGCTTTATTAACACTACTGTACAATCTCCTTGTTTTCTGTTAGCTTCCTCATCTTCAAACACACAGAACAAGCCTATGGCATATGAAGACTACAGGAGGGTAGAGACAGCCCTCCAAGAGCAGATTACGCCTAGCTACGGTGAAAGGATACGCAGAGAGCCATGGGGGTTAGATGATGATTCACAAATGTTTATGGGCCAATCTCTAGGTAGGCACTATAGACAGAGCTATACAGTTGTGCACTGTATTCCATCCATCAGAAATATGCCAGATAAGTGTCTGGCAGTGTTATACATGACATAGGGACATGATGATGATGAAGAAAATTAATGATGGCGAAGAAAATGATGATGCTGATGAAGTGATGATGATAATGATGGTGGTGGTGATGATGATAATGATGATATGACAACATTGTGGTAGTGGTTTCCAGTGTTGTTGTTCTAGTTCAAAATCACAACTTTAAAGTCTGGTCCAAATCATATGCACTGACGGGAAAATAAATGTACTAGGTAGAATGTTGCTACTGAATATGTTATTCAGATTCATTATGCATTACTCTACACTGCAGCATGACCTAAATGCTCCAGAGAATGTCTAGAAGAGGTTATTATCTGTCAATATAGATTCATTTACCGGTATAATAATATTGGAAGTGGTTTGGCACACATTTTTTTTTTTTGGATTTTACAGAGTATAATTATTATTTATGATGGGACATGCATTTCTAGTTTCAGAATCGAGTGACATGTTCTTGTCAATGACGCATAGTGCGATGTCAATATCAACTCAAAGCTTAGATATGGAATCCTCGTTCAGTAGCAATGTTAGTGCGACCTCTACGGACACGTCTAAAACAGGTTAGAAGGTTTACCTGTCCTGTCTTCCATCTCTTTTAAATTTTTTTTTATCATATTCCTCTTCTCGCACACTTATTCCTTGGGACTTTTTTTTCTTTGATATTTTTGAAAATAATATTAAGAAGCTTGATATTTTTTTGTGGTGTTTATATAAATTTAATATTATTGCATTTAAATTTGTATGAATTATTTATTCAGTTCCTAGTAGTTATATGATAGTTCAACGAGCTATCCTTAATACTGAAAATTTAAATATATCCTCTGAATCAAATCTCTTAATTTCATCCTCTGGATGTGAAGTGGCATTGGATGGTCAATTGATGTCGACATGCTTTCTGATTTCTGATAGTATGTCTACTTTATAATAATATTAGGAAAAACCTCATTCCATCTTTCTTTTATATAAATCCAACAATTTTTAAGTTCCATCGTGTAATGTCATCAAATGATTGTAATGTTTTATATAATTTATCAAAATGTCTGTGTTTAGCTTACATAAGATGACGTGATTTATTTTGTTTCGTTCTCTAGATGTTATTGTTACTTTGTTATGTAAAGGGTTGGATGTGTAAAATACAAATGAATGTCCTAGACCATGGGGTCTAGGAACGAACCAAATTATTACATTATATTCAGACAATGATAATAAGTGAAATTTCCTACTTGTTAAATACATGCTTCAAATAAATAAAGATGAAAAAGTAAGAAAAGTAATCAGGTCATCACTGACAGTCCTTCAAATTTGCTTACCAATTTCTGTTCCTAATATACTAATATGTATAAAATCATGATTTATTCTGCAAGGCAGTCACTTAAAAAAAGTTTGTTGTTTTTAGGGAAAATATTGTTGAATAAAAATAATCCTGCTAATTATTTATTAATTATTTGTTTGCTGTGATGTGTTTAGGTTGTAGCAGTTTAGCAAGGTTGGGGTATGGTGGGCCATACTTTAGACCCCACCTCGCTAATCCTTACAGCTCCCACTCCACGTCTAAGGCATCTTCAAAACGCAAGAAAAGGAGTGAGTAGCATTTGCCCAATTTGAATATCCAATTTTACCAGGTGTAACATACTCATTTTCATACAATTCAAAACAAGGTTTATTTACTTATATATGTTTGGATTTTTGTTTTTAGTAGAAATGGGATCAGTAACTAAAAGTTTACATATCCTAAAGCCCTGTCCAGACTATCACATTTTATTTGACAAACACATGTAACATGTCTAAATATGGTCATGATGACATCACATCATGACCATATTTAGGCACATCATGACCATATATGGGCATACAAGAGTTTTAATAGCGTGGACAAAGCTTAATGGTAGATTGTTAATCAATGATTTTATTCTTACTTGATTCCAGCATCTGGAGAATATGGAAATGATTCGACTGCCGAGGTGACTCACTATAAACTTCGCTTTGCTAGTATGTCAGTCACAATATTACATGAAGATCCAGCATCCACCCCTATACACATAATGGAAGAGTCCACAAGCACTAAGCTTCAGGAGATGTCCAAGAATTTCTTTGATGAGCTTCAGATGGGCTACGGAATGAAAGATTCTGCTGAATGGAAGAAGAACTTCGCTGCTGCATGCCCTTATGACCATCTCAGGTATGTGAGTTTTTAGGTTGATGCTTGCTTATTTTAAATCCCAGTGTAAAGGGTTGTTGGGGATGGGGGTTATTGATCAGCTCAGTGGCCTGCCTTTGAGCTGGAATGTTCACCCTCATTAAGTATGATGGAAATAAATAAATGAATCCCAGATAAAAATTAAGAAATTCCATCAGATGAATTCTTTTTACAACCAAAAATAAAATTATTTCTAAAACCATTCATGAATTTATAATACACCGTCCGTCACATCTTTTTGATTCACAACATAACAGATGAGTATAGCCAAAAACAACACTTCAATTATATGATACTGTAAGAGAAATAAAACATTTAGAGGCAAACAGGTGCAAGTACAGTGCAGATCCAGGATGTTTCTGCCCAATTTTGACCCTGGATTTTTAAATTCTGTCTTTTAGACTGGTAGCAGCACCCTGTAACGTGGAGCTTGAAAGAAAGCAAATTAACTCAGTGACGCACAACACTGCTGAGCTGTCCCTAGGTACACTGCAGCTACTTGAATGTCTATTCAACAACCACAAGACAGATGTATCCATGAAGGGGGGTGGGGATTTGCAGCCAGACCACACTGAGGTAACTGCCTTGTCTTGTTAAATTGTATTTAATTCATTTTGATATATATTAGATATTTTATTAATTTAATCTAAAATTGAATGAATTACTCAACTATAAAAATGTGAACACACAGAAGAAAAATAGCAAAAATTAACAACAGTAACATTAGCATGCAGCAGTAGTGAAAAAGTAAAAGTAGAGACTTACACTGAATAACAGTCCAAGAGCGCTAAACATAAATGCTTATTTCTAAGCAGATACACCAAGTCTTGGCATTGGATGTTTTTATGCTAATTTCCTGTTTTCTATATTTATAGATTCTTACATTTGATCAGCTGGATTCTAACTTAAGTGGCAAGACTTACTCTGAATTTACAGGAAAGTCAACATCAGCTGTACGTATTAAGATTGAATCTAAAGATCGCACGGACAATGTAAGTCCCTTGTGATTAAGACAGAGTTGAGGTTAGGAATTGCAATTAACCATAATAAAACATGTTGTTGCTAAGAGAAACCAAGATGAATGCAAATAATATAGTGATAAGCATCAGTACTACTTAGATCAATATCATTTTAAATCTATTGTGAACATTATTGAAATTTTATGTACTCTGCCAAGAGGAAAATTCATCTTCCTATGGATATGAAAAATGTAAAATATTTGATTTGGGCATACCTAATAAAATGATGGATTCATCCACCACAGCCCCCACCCCTTCTCAGAAATACACCTGTCACCAACCCATTCCCAGTATAATTTTCTAATTCCTAATCCACATATCCATTTCGATGTAAGATATTCTTTAGAAGTATTCAGGATTTTTGAATTATGAATGAAGACATTCACGTAGTAGATCAACAACCTTCAAGTTTTTGACAATTTGATTTTACTTTTGGGCCCCGAAGAGAATAATTAAGACTAGAAGACACTTGAGTTAAATCAATAATATAAATATGTATATAATATTTTTACTTTAGATATTTGTGTTTGCTTATCGTGTTCCCAAAGTCATCCTACAAGGTGTTGGAGGACCCTGGTGCTCCTAACCTCCCTTTGCCCCCTTGCTTGGTATGCATAGATGAAATAACCAAGCTTCTACATAAGCATTTCTTATTGTTCTTAGAGCATTGGTCACCGTGCTAGTAAACAGAAAATGAAAATTGAGGTTGAGCTTGGCGAGTTGACCTGTGAACTCGATGTGACCATCGTAGATCGTCTGTATAGTCTGCTCCATCCCCAAGCTTTTTCAGATTTCCAACAGGGAGGTCACATGACTTTTAAATCCATGTATACATCAACTAATATGGTACAGTATTTTACATTATTTATGTTACAAATTATATAGATAGTAAAGAAATTAAATACTTCTTCTGTTATTTTGATGTACAGTAAGTGCCATTTAAATAATATCTTTCAGTATTATATAAATGAATATATAGTTTATTATTTCGAACTTACTTTTCTCTATACAGAAACAAGCTTGCTTTAAACAAGCCATGGACGATGATACAACAAACTCAGCATACCACATCGATATAAATGCTACCTGTCCGCAGGCCACTGTCAAACTAAGGTATTGTGTTTGAGAAATAATACCACCAGGCAAACACAGGTGCATCAATATACAAGGAACCACAACATTAGGAAAAAGACAGGTCTTTGATACATATGCCCAAAAATTTTGTCATTGAAGATTTATTTATTTATTTATTACAAATTCGTCACAGATAAAATATATATCGACCAGCAGCGTGACTGGAGATAACATGGGCTAAAGCCCAAGACATCAAGTGGTCTGCCCTAAACCCCTGGCTAATCACAAATGCTATAAGTAAGTTAATAATTTCCTGATGATGACATAATTAATGTTGAAATATTGAATCCCAACACGCTGGCGTGCATTTCAATACTTGGAGTATGTATTATACTTTCTTAAGTTAATAATATTATAGTACAAATAAAAATGTAAACAGTATACAAATTACAATGTGTACATTAAAAATATTTGTTCATATTTTGATCAAGTGCTTAGACACAGCATACTTTATGAAATATCAGTAAATATACCTTGTGAACACATTGCAGTAATAAATTGATAATTATTGTTGTGTCCTACATAGATTCCCCTGCCCAGACTTCCGCCCCCTGACTGATATTGAACGCAGCCCCTGGTGGAAGAAGTCTGTGCGGCAAGAAGTTTTGTTTGTAGAACTTGCAGATGTTGATTTATCGACAACTCTAGACAGCGACAACCTCGAGAAGAAGTTCATTTTACGAAGTCGTCAAGTGGATGGTATGTCGGCGTGCTTCAGTTTTGGAATTTTTTACATCAAACACATCCCCGCATCCCCCTTCCCCATACATGTATCCTGAGCAAACACACCCACACATACACACAAACATCATCTAAAACATGAATTGCAGTCTAAAACAAATTCCTAATTCTAATTGGATGTTATTGGTCTAATCCAATTCATACACGCATTAATATCCAATCATAGTTAAAAAATTGTTTAGGACTGGTGCAACAATAGCCACTGCCTAGCATATATTAACAATATATCTTGTTCTTTAGGTAAGTTTCAGATGAATCCAAGTGAAGCACCAGTATCATTCTTTAAGGCCAACAGTGCCAAGTCAGATCGTAGCCAAAGTGAAAACAAGGAATTTGATTGGCCGAGGTAGGAATAGCAAAGAGAAATAATACATATTGCACAGGGGACTTCTTCCAATTAATTTGGTTTGCGTGCAGGCATTTTTTTTATTAATGAAGAAGGATTTTTTGGTCGGTACAATATACTGTATCAGAATAATTATTATATAATGATATTTGTACAATATGTTGCCTAGAAGTGTACCACACATAATTATCAAGAATAAAATAATTATATACTATTATTGTTTATAGAATATTGTTATTGTCATTATTAGTTAATATTATTATCTGTAATCTTTTAATTGCAGTTTGGTTATAATGATTCACCCTCCAAACCAAACATCAGTGTTTGACCAGGATCAGGAACCTTCTCTAGATTCAACACCAATGAATTCATTTGAGAGCGTTTATGTTCAAAAGCCAGTGGAGCCATCACCGTTTTCATCAAGGAACGTCATGTATGAGAGCGATCAGGTTAGAGAGAAATTTGTTATAACTATTTATGTATTCATTTGTTTATTATATACTTGACATTGATTATTTAGATGCACATACTTTACTCTATTATATTTGTAATTGCTTTTTAATCTTATTGATCAAGTAATCATGTTGGGTTTTTTATTTTAGATGGTGATACCAGGAGATGATGACGAAATTCGCGATTTCATTGAAAAGTCAAATCAAGACTCGCAACTTATTCTAGAAATCAACTTACCAGTGGTCAACATCCTGGTTCCTAATAATGAGTTCCTTAATAATATTTATAACAGGTTAGCACATTATATAATGAGTTATAATAATGAGTTCCTTAATAATATTTATAACAGGTTAGCACATTATATGCTAATTAATATAATAATGAGTTCCTTAATAATATTTATAACAGGTTAGCACATTATATGCTTTCAACAAGGAGCTGAAATTCCAATATTTTCTCAAACATTTATATTATTTTTAAATAATGATAGTGATTGTGAAGAGGATAAAGATGAGAATGATGATGAAGAGGGGAATGATTATGATCTTTCATTGTGTTTCCTTTGTGTAGATTGTGTACGGATCTGTTGCTATGGCAACCAACTGCCCCTACTCCCACTGAAACCAGTGCAGATGTTTTCCAGAGTGTAATCGGATTTGATCTAGCAACTCCATTGTCGTCTTATCCAGATACAACTCAGCCTTTTAGAAATTGCAAATCATTCAAAAATCAAGGTGAGAGATACCCCCAAGTATACTTATAAAATCCAACTCAGAATGTGTTGTACAACACATTCTGACGTGATTTGTTGTCGCGTTGGGTCTTTGTGAGTTGAACGCTAACTAGACGCACCATGAGCACCAAATATTCTCATGACGACCTGAAGATGGTCCCAAACGATAACTCGCGTTGGGATGCATTGCACGGCACTGTCTGAGTTGGCCTTAATAAGCCCGTTTTTTTCCCACAATAATTGATTAGTGAATGTTTGGGATCCTTGATGCTCCAATCTAAGTCTCTTTATGAGTGTCTTAGGGAGTTAAAAGTTTATTGTCTAATGCTTTATAATGAAGTACGAAACCCCTGCTATTATTATTAACACCCTGTATTGATTGTCTCCACTGCCATGTCACATTTCTGTATGTAATGTAATGTAGGTAGGTTTATGTAGCACTTTATACCTGAGTCTCAGAGCACTCAAACTGTGGAATAGCTCATACAGTACTCTATGTGCATTGCTGTAGTGATTTGTTTTTTAATTCAGATTGGGAGTCAGATGATGAGGATGATGATGATATATTTCAAACAATGCAGGAGGCATCAATCCGGAGGAAGCAACGGCAACAGCAAGGACCAAGAAACTCCTCAAACTACTTAGCATTAACGTTGAGTGTTGGCCATGGAAGACTCACTATACACACACCAATCCAGGTAACACACTGTAGGACATACAGGGCTAACTTTGTAGAATTTTCATTATCTTAGCAATGAGGTAACAGGTAAACTGCCCCCTAGGAAATTCATTTGTCACTGACTATCAACCTATAGACTAATACCCAGGCATACTCATTCTTGTGGGAACATATATAAACATTGACCAATCCCTCCCCTTGCAAAAACTCTTCCCAGGAAAGTTTGAAATAATTAACCTTGGCAGTATAAATCATAGATTGGAGGGTATAATTTCATAGGGGTGGGTGGTCAAAAGATAAACTTGCCTATTGAAAACATAAAGTATAATGGTGTCAACTGTTCCAAGTTTTACTGCACTACTATATTAGCAGTAAGTGAAAGGGAAATAAAGATGATTATGTTGAAGTTATTGTCAATGTTTAGCACTCTTGGACAATAGTTCCTACTAATATTTTGCTGAAAGAAAACATAGCATATATTGCTTTATTCATAACTGATAGAATACAAACATCACTTTAGAATTGCGCAGCCTTTGCAAACATCACCCCTACCACCCAAATGTAAAAGTGTCCTCTTAGAAAATCTGTTTTGAATCACTTTATTTGCAGTAAATATGCACTGTAGGAATAGTTTTTGTATATTCACTTGAACCTTTGTTTTTTCTTAGAATGAAGATGATGAAGATATAAATGATTGCCATGGCGAAGTGATGTTTGAAATTGAGGATGGAAACCTGTTTGTTGTGAATGAATACAAAGGTGATAAGGATCTGACGTACCTGTGTATCCAAGGAAAGCGATATGTACTTTACCATGCTGGTGAGTTAAAAATTAATGAAAAAGGGGAGGTGATTATTGTTATTTTATGCACATTTTAACGGATTTGCACATTTTTTCTTTATCAAATCAATTAAATTATTATTTGGCTCTTTATATTTACAGCTGAAGTTGAAAACTGCCTTCTAGAGGGTTCTCTCGAGCCACTTTCTTGTATGGTTCCAAAATATCTTAAAAAGTGTCTTTATCTGTCAGATGACAGAGTAGCTAATAAATATGATGACAATAAAAATAGCAATATGCTCTCTGTAGCAGTCAAGATGGCTGTAGAACCTGACAAGAATGTTAAGGTAATGTGTCCTTAATAAATGTATATTTATTATATGTTGTAAGAATATATAAAGTCCATGTGTGTTATTATTTAGAACTAAATTCCATAATTGTCTATGGAGAACATAATTGCTGATACAGTACAGTAAGTTTATACAGTGGAGCTGTGGCTTTGTTGCTAAATCTCTCTCATTTTACTTATGTTCTTGTTTCAGAGTATTGTATGTGCCGTCGGTGTACGTTCAACAACATTACGTCACTACGTCACTAAACCTGAACAGAGCTGGATTGCCCAAGTTGGTGCCATGTTTGACCTCTTAGATGACACAGTGCCTGGATTCACATTTCCCAGGGTAGTCACAGAGCTGCATGTACATTTCTGGGAATGTGGTATTGATTATAGGTTAGATTTTTTATTGTTTTTTCATTCAGACAAAATTTTTATACATGCTTAGTATTATCTGCTGGTAATGAGGGCTCTAGATTCTTTCATATAGGCCTTTTTGTTTTGTATGTCATTCTGTGTTTAAACTGTATATTTAGAAAGTTTTTTTTTTTCTTTGTAATGTTCACTGTAGGCCAATTCACCTTCCAGTAAGCTCATTCATCACCCTGTCCTCATTTAGTATAAGCAGTACATTGGTGTATGAGGCTAAGCAGTCTTTACTTAGGTAAGTACAGTTATTACCACTCTTAAGTTGTATAAACAATTACAGTAGTATAATATACTCTGAGGTAATTATATAAATTATATTATATAGTTATCTCAGATATACAGATCCTTAAATATGTACTGTACAATCAAACAAAATGAGCTGGTTTTAGTTCATGATGTGAATACTTGAGTAACCTACAATTACCATATTAGAAAAACCCATGAACAGTGTGGCAGTATAAAGAATACCTACATACTACAGACTTCAACATTCCATTTTGTTATTCCAAATGTTATCCAAGTTTGTACTTCACTTGTAGACTACCAACACCACCATTCATTTGTGTACTTAATTTTTTTCATTTAAATTTTATCAACGATTGCAGGTTTATAGTAGATGATGCCGCATTGTTTCTCTCGGATAAGTGCAATGAAGGGGTTATTGACCTCAAGAAAAGTAAGTTGAAAATCACTATTTTTACTTTATTTTGTGATTTTTAGGAATAAAATTTGCCCCTATTTTAATATTAATATATGTTGTTAAAGGCATTTTAATCAACAATTGAGCTTTATCATTTTCATTCCTTTTTTTATACGGTCTTTTTTAACAGCATTATGTACATAACAGAAAGTTACAAAAAAAAAAAGATAAACCCTGAAAATTTGGGGAGACCAGGGTCAACCAAAGTGAACCAAATGACTGTAGCTAAGCCGGTTGACCAAAACCCAAATACAGTAACATTACACAAGATAAAAAATGAAAGAAAAAAAAACCAAACTAATAACATTACAGTGAATCAACGTAAATATTAACCTTTCGAAGAAAAGAGGATGGGCTCCACTCTAGTATTAATCTATGTGTCAAGTTTTAAAAACATTTTTTTCTTATTTCTTCTGCAGATTTTGTCTGTGTTATGGAAATGGGATCATTTGAACTCTCTTTAAAAATGAATGTTAACAAAGAAAAAGTAAGTGCATCTAATTAGCTAGATAACACTACAAATAACAGTAACATTAACATTAGCATATCATATATGCTTACTATAGTAGTCTTGGAATTTCCAATAATAATACAAATGTTTTTTAATGTTTAATTTCTATTCACAGAATCCTCAAATTGAATTTTCTGCATCCAATAATGTTTTCCATATAAGGACGTGTGCAGATTCCTTCAGTGCATTGATTAAGTTGATATTGTATCTAGCTAATGATGGTGATTTGATTTGCAGTGAGACAGTTGATCTCCAGGCATCGGATATAGGCGTATCTGAGGTAAGAAATGAAAGGAAATTTATTTGGCAGTTTCATCAAATGAATGCTAATCTTTTGTTTAGTTTTTTTTACTTAAAAATCATCCAATACTGTAGTTACCCATAACAGGATTGAATAGAAGTTTACAATAAAACAATTATAAAGCTATGAAATTAAGTTCAATAGTAGTTTTATGTAAGAAGCAGTTTAGACCACTAAATATATCAATTGAAAGTACATAGTATACAAGTATTGACAGCTCATGAGGGGAATGGTGAAATATATTTCCCCTCGGTGATGTGGAGACTGTAGCCTTTCTTCCCGAGGGCCGAAGCCCCAAGGTAAGATAAGCTACGGTCTCCACATCACCGAGGGTCTATAGATTTCACTGTTCCCCGAATCTAGAGCAGTCAACATTTGTTTTGTATAACTCGTACATAGATTCTACGAGACTTAAAAACGTAATGAAAATAGTACACACCAAGTAGGCCTAGACGTACTTCCTAGGCCTAGGTGATTAAAGGGCCAATCTCTCTCAGCGTTGTAAAGGTCACGTCTCCTTTACCGTTCATGCGTGTCATAAGTTACATAGCAACACAGCAAATGCCCTCATATCAAATGCATATTTTACAGCCTACTAGTTTACAGAAGCCTGCCAGTAGTAACAGTCCAGTATGTCAGGCCAACCATTATGATCAGATGCATAATATGATGGAGGAGGCTATGAAGGATGTGAATGGATCCAGTATAATGGAATCAATGACCAAAGGTGAGGTGGTGTGTGGCGTGGATTGACAATGAATTAAAGCTGGTCTATATGCTAGAAATATACTATTTTCTATCCAGAAATCTCTTGCGAGAATCTAATGGAAGTGAGACAGAAGTGATAACAATTATGCATAAGTAAAATTGATGACCAATAGGAGAGAATAGAGAATGAGTCAGAAGTTTTTGATGTTAGTGAGATTGTTTATTTCACTGGTGGTGGAGGGCTGCTGAACCATGAGGTCATTCTTAGAAACAACCACTATCAAATAGTTTTATTATGATTCTTGTATATGTACTCTTCCATTAATTTTCTTCTGATTATTTTCACTAAATTATGGAAAGGATAGTAAAGTTATATTTATATTTGTGCAATAAAACTCATACATCAAAGTAGTCTTGGTTTTGTGTTGGGTTATATTTACATAAAATAAACCTTTGTTTTTAGGAGAGACCAATATTGCTACTACCATGGAGGATTCTTCAATTGAATTGTACTACTTCCCAGATGAGAACAACTCCATTAGGAGTGATGATTTTCCTAATGAACACACTGAGAATGGGAGCTTCCCAACTGGAGCAATGGGAACAGGTGGTCGCAAAAGGAGTGAGGGGGATGACTCTGATTTATTTGATGATGACGAGTTCTGCATATTAGATGAACCTGGAACTGGATTCAGGGTATGTTAATAATAATAACATAAAATAATTGTGAGCTGTCGTGACAAAAGGAGTCTTGTTGTACGCCAGGCCAGTTTGATATATTCAAGAATATATATCTGAAGTGATATTTTGACAAAAATTGGGTTTCAATTTTTCTGATTAGTTTAATATGTATATTTCACAGTAGCAAAATTTCTGAGTTGAGTTTCCTAAGGTAATCATCTTTTTGAGGCACATTTTGTAAAGCTATTTTCCAGAATTGATAGGAAAACCAACACGAAATTTATCAGTTGTTTATCTTTAGAGGCGATTTTAAGTATATATATGAAGTATATTTTTATAATATATGAAATATATTTTTTTGACATCTGAACTTTAAAATGATCTTACTCGGGTTTTACTTAACCTAGGAACATGATTCAAAGACCAAAATAAAGCTCATATAGTCATCTATCTAAATATATTGATAATTCATTTTTAATTTTTTGTACCGTTAAACTCAATTTGTCACAACAGCTCACAATTGTGTTTAAATTGTTTTTAATTGTATTTCCTTTCTGTTTATCTATTAATTTCATTGTATTGACATTAATAAAGGTTCACTGGTTTATACATTTTCAGTTTTTGAATGATTTATTAAGTTGTATTACATGATGATGAAAATAAGTTGTCTTGAAAGGATGATGATAGATAAAATCTACTATTACATGTTAAGTCTTGATGAAAATAGTAGAATATGATGTAAAATTTATTATAAAAATTAATTATAAAAATTTAGTTGGAGCATTATAATCATTTCATTGAAGATGAATAATTTGATTTTTTTTTTCTAGCCCCGGGACGATGAACCAGAAGTGAAGGTCAGGACAGAGAAAGTAATTAGGATAATTAATGATCATTTTAAACGACCATTGGAGAAAGCTGATCAGTTGAAAAGTCCTGACAACTTTCCTCCTGCTCTCAAAAGGTTCACACTAAAGGAAATGACGATTGTTTGGCAGATGTATGGCGGGAAGGACTTCGGTTCCGCAAGAGGTTAGTGAAAGTAGGAGAAAATCATACGCTGTGTTGTTTTAGATTTTGAAACAGAGGGTGCTTGTCAATTTAATTTTGTATATTTTGAACAATAGTACGCAACCCTTCACGTTGTTTGATATTTAACTGCCAGCCGTCAGTCTTTTAACTTGATTAATTTATGTCTGCTGTTTTTATTTTAATCAGTCATAATTAGTATTGATAGTGCATCCATTTTAAACGATGTACTAAAGTTCAAAAGCACTAATTCTGCATTGAAAACGCCATGCAAAACTAAAACAATTTGCGGATGAAATATCACCAGATAAACATGTCATAGACACATGATGTAAAAAGATCCAGGGCATATGTACATTGTGAGTGCTGTCACTGCATACAATATTTCTCTAGTTTAACCTACATTGGTAGAACTTAAGGGAGCTAATTTACCCATATTTAAATACCAGTGGCAGATTGCTATAAGCGGTCTTTAGACGGTCTTAACGGTTAGCCGGCTATAATCGTGACGTCACTACTGGTCTATGATTATAGACCATTGCTATACCACGGTCTAACCAGTTAGCCATCTTAAATTTTAAAACCTACGGAAGAGGCTTTAAACGGTCATAAATCATTTTCAATGTGGCATTCTGATTAATTCAACAGTGCAATGGCAAGACCTAGGCCTAGATCGTCAAAGTCGGAGAATCGAACGACGAATACCCGCACAATTCTCAGCGTCTATAAAAATAAGCCTACGGCGTTTATTTATGTTCATTTCGATACATTTGCGCACGTCAAGCACGCATTATGTCGCCCTCAATCTTACGTTACCAGGGAATGCTTGTTCGCGTTTCAATACTCAAAGTGGTCTTAGGGAAAACTGTTTTATAGCAATGGTCTTAGAGGAATGACTTTAGTAAGACCGTCTAAGTGATAAAGCCGGCTTTATTCGAGGAGTTACGACTACCATTTAAGACTGTTTTATAGCAATCAGCCCCAGGCTATGTAAAATTGCTTTTTAAATTTTCTATTGGTGATATACGGGATCAATCATACAATTTTTGCATCCTTTTTTCCACCCTATAGGATGGGTATATGTTTCATACAATTCTATTGGATTCCCATTCAACCAGGTACCCATTTATACTCATGGGTAAAGACAGGCAGAGATGGTACTCTTTTCTAGGATACTATCTATTAGGCAAGCATCAAATTCACAATTCTATGCCATTATGACAAACAGACTTATTATTACCAATAAATTTCTTTCAGCTCAACCATTTGGAAGTTCTTCTTCATTGAACGATAAAAGCAGGTAAGAAGCTTTTTATAAATTGCAAAATGTTTTTTGATTCAACTGGAAAAAAAATTATTTTCAATAAATTATTTTCTTTCAACAACAGTCCTGTATCTCATGGTCGTAACTCCTTCTCATCACCATCCCCCTCACGGTCAAGCAGTCGATGGCAAGCGCAAGGGGGATGTGGAAGGGATGAGGACATTCTCATGGAATTGCAACTCAACAAGGTAACACAATTGCACTGATCTTGTCGTGTGAAGACAGATGATCACTTGACTAAAAAAAAGTTGGTCAACTGACCTGTACAAATCTGACTAGTTGCTAACACCCCATACTTATGTGTCTCTAAGTTGGTCAACTGACCTGTACAAATCTGACTAGTTACTAACACCCATACTTAAGTGTCTCTAAGTTGGTCAACTGACCTGTACAAATCTGACTAGTTGCTAACACCCCATACTTATGTGTCTCTAAGTTGGTCAGATATTAGTTGTACAGGTCTCCCTTTACTTAAAGACCACATCAAATTTAAGACCACTTGTCTGTGGTCCCAAATTAACAAATGTCTTTTATATTTATTATTCTAATTAGAGACCAAAGAAACACTGGTCCTAAAAGTGGTCTTTAATTGGAGGGAGACCTATATCATTTCTTACAAAAAATTTGTTTCTGTTTTTTTTTGTCCAAGGTGCGCTTTCAACATGAAGAGTATGTTAGAAGCAAGGATACAAAGCAGTGTTCCCGTCAAATCTTACTAATAAACGATGTTGAAATTCGAGACAGACTCGTCCAATCACAAATCAATAAATTCCTGTATCAATATTCCTCCGAATCGAGACCAAAGAGAACTCATGCCAATATGGTAATGTACTGTATTTACCTCTTTTTTTTGTGTATTTCTTTCACATCTAAAGTAAATCACTCTCCAATTACATGATTACATGATGGTGTGGCTTAGGTTAAGCTTGGTTTCCATACAATCGCTACATGCTATCTCCGGCAGCTTTCAATGATGCTGATGGGTCAGTCGAATCGGAGAGCCTTCGATATTAACATCTCAACGAGATTTGATTGACAGATAAACCCACTAATCAGCAAGCGTCATTTAGTCACGTAATCAAAAACTTTTTCTCTGACATTTTAATTTCCTTAGACAGCTGGTTTAAACGCAAAACATACGTGAGCCTAGGCCTAGATGTCTATGCTTGGTTATAGATACCCAGATTTACACGAGCAGTGCGCATCAGTGACTTGGCCTTTGCCGACAACAAGGTTGACTGAAGGCAGCTTTTCCCTCTTCTTCTGGGAGCGAAATGCAGAGGCTTTTACAACAATTTCCCCGCCATGTTCCATGAAATAGATTAACACTATGAATATATGATTTATTTGCATACCGCCTACCCTGAATTCTCTTTCTTAAAGAAGGTTGATAACAAAGAAAATCTTCGCCAATTCGGTAAGTCTAGCCGCCATTGTCTAAGGTTTTCATGACTTTCTGGGCGGAGCTTCGCGTTTGTCGACATGTCAACTGCTATGCAGTACAACGATTCCACTGAAAGCAGTGGAGCGATTTTATGGAAACCAGGCTTCAGAGGAGCTGCTAAAGACCAAGCTATTTGAATCCAGGACTCTGGCATTGGAAGGCAAGCATCTTAGCTATTAGTTCCACTCTAAAGCATCATACAAATATCACTATTGTTATTTTTACCATAATAAATATTTTCATTGTTATTAATAATATATATGTATTTTATTTTTATTTATTTATTATCCTGTCCAACAGCAAATACAAAATTTGCCACTTACATGTGGTTTATTTTGTAGACCAGCAAACTCAAAAACGATACACATGTTGGTACTGAATGTCATTATACATCATTGATCGCTATTGCTTTTCTCTGTAGGTCCTCATTAAGGCAGTCCACCTGCATCCAGATCCAGATCTATCAGCTGAAGAGTGTTGCTTAAAGATCTCGATTCAACCATTAAGACTCAACGTCGATCAAGATGCTTTGTTTTTCCTGCGTGATTTCTTCACAGAGGTTTCCAGTGATGTCAGCCGGATGAACTTTCCTCAAGGTCAGTTTAATGGCTCCGCACCCTCAGCATTATAGTTCATTTTGTCAAATTGATAACCATTATTGAATTGGTGTTTTTTCAAGTTGGTTAAATCATCACAGGCAGTATACAGTATCTTTAATGTATTTTTTGCTAACTTACAATTGTGTTTTCTTAGATTCAGACACAATATCAAATTCAACGAGTACAACTTCCATTGGAGGGGATGCGGCATTACTCGAGACTGGGCTTCCTCCATCGGAGGCTGGAAACCATGGTACTTCAGAATCTTTGTTTTCCTCCAGAACATCCTGCATATCGTCTGCCTCAAGCCAGAATAGTGACGTCAGCAACACCAGTTCCAGAGGATCCATTCCACCTATATACTTCAGGTGAGGTTTTCATTTTGTGAATAATAAATAATTTTTTAGTAGAAGCAGTTGGTCAGGTCGTAGGTTAAAATTCTCGCTGTGCATTTCAGTTGTGTTGTTTGGCTTTATGTTTGTGTCTTTCCAAACAAGCCGCAATAATAGGGTGCCTAGTAGGATGTTGTGGCTTTGAATGTATTATTCTGTGAGATTAAATTGCAGCATGACTAGGCATGCTTCCCAGGTAGTGGAGAAGGTTGCACTTTGTGCCAATTCGTGTGTTTAATTACCGGAGGAAATAATATTATCAACCAGTGCCTTATAATGCTTGGTAAAATTCATGATATAAATTCCTATATTATTAATTTTTTAAAGTTTTGTATCTCAAACTGATCAGATATTTTTTACTTTTCATACAGATCTTTGGAATTTTCTCCCGCTGTTCCAATCCGTTTAGATTATCAGGGCAAGAGAGTTACCATGGAGCAGGTATGTCCATCCCATATTATTTCTATACATATTCTTAACCAGGGCTAGGAATATAAATCAGAACTATGGACATTTTTTATATTATATTATATTATATATATGTCTGGTCAAAAATAGTTCAGTGTGCCAATATTATTTTGTTCAATACATGTGACTCTCACCTTTTTCTGCTGCTGACTGTTGAATTGGTTTGGAATAATATAAAGTACAAAAGCTTACTCTTCCTATCAGTTTTCCTTGGGAGGGTGGTAATTTAATAATTACAGTAGCACAGTAATTCACACTGGTACTGACTAGTTAAGTTTGCATTAATCTGCATTAATTTCCTGTTATAGGGAACATTTATTGGGTTGTTGGTCGGTCTTGCCCAGTTGAATTGCTCAGAACTGACATTAAAGAGAATCCACTATCGTCATGGGTAAGTATCAATGTATATATATCACAAGCTGCTGTTAAACTTTTCCAGGCCTGATAATATACCATACAAAAATTATCTGCACTGCCTAGGCCTACCGTGCACCATCCTATCTGAGAAGTAGTGAAAGATTAGGTAGCCTTTATAAGTTTGCCTATGGCCTAGGCCTAGAAAGCTACCAACCCATTTTTATTTCCCAAACCTAACAATACACACCCGACTGCCATCAGTGTTGAGAGCTAAACTCATATAGAGAAATTCCTTTACCAGTCAGTCCCCCAACCTTTCCCCAGTGTTATTAAATTGCCAATTTCATAATGTATAAAAAGCATAAAGAATTAAAATTGGCTATCCTCTTAACTCAAGGTTACTTAGGACATGGCCATTAGTCAACAAATGCATTAATATTATAGAGAAATCATTCATTTCAACTAAATGTAATTTATTTGAAAAATATTGATGAAAAACCATCCCGGATGCACGACGGCTAATTACATTGGATGTAGAACTCACTTTTAAGAGAACAAGCAATTTGAATCTCCATTAAGATAAAGTAGGTTTATAATCTATTTGACCGTCCTGTTGAACTTAATTAGCATCATTGTAAAATATTTAATTATTTTCATTGCCACTATAATTACCATTATCTCAAATTACTTTTTTCTGACAGCCTTATTGGCTGAGTAATCCAGCCAATCAGACTATATATTATCCAGATTATTGAGACATTGATATTCTAATAGGTTTATGGTTTTTACATTTGTGCCCCAGATGTTGTGGAGATGAGTCTTGCTTCTTTCCTTTATTCTAAAGTAATAACTACAATTTCCAAGACTTACCATTAAGTTGGCCGTGCTGCCTGCATCAAGCGTGCAAAGAGGAAATAAAGTAGATAGTAATTATCGATAAATTAAAGAATGACGTACTATTGATACCATCAGAAATTTATCTGTTTAATTTTTTTTTTTTTTGCCCCAATAATAAAACAAAATTTTATCATTACTAGTCATCAAATGATTAGATATTATAAATTTTGTATCAAAATTTTCAGTTCAATGAACTTGGTTTTGTAACACTTTCAGCTATCAATTCAATACACAAATAAACAGCGTCCCACATCCACCGTTGGTGTGAGTGGGAAAGTGAGTAAGCTACATTGATCATCTTGAATCCACCATTGTTTTGTGGAGGTTTAGCTTGGTGGTTAAGATGTTTGCCTTCCAATCCTAGTGTCCTAGGTTCAAATCCTGCAAAGTTGCTGTAGTGGAGCCTTAGCTTAGTGGTTAAGATGCTTGCCTAGGGTCCTGGGTTCAAGTCCTGCAATGTTGCTGTAGTAGATCTGTAGCTTGGTGGTTAAGATGCTTGCCTTCCAAACCTCAGTCCTGGTTTTTTTCTCATAGCTAAAAAGACATCTGCATTCTCTAAGCCTTGTAATGAGACATCATTTAGAGTGCATCGCATTATTTCAATTTAAGTAGGCCCTTTTATATCAGCCAATCAATCCTAGAATAGGCTGGTAAATTTTGTGTGTACATACAAATTGAAAATCACAAGGAAACATTGGCGTGTTTTTAGATTAATGATAATGATCTTTTGAATATATTTTTCCAGACTGCTTGGTGTGGATAAACTGCTCCTGCACCTCATTAATGAATGGGCACAAGATATAAAGAAATCACAACTACCTAGTATCCTAGGTGGAGTTGGCCCCATGCACTCTTTTGTCCAACTTGGTAAGCAAATATGATTGAGTTATTAATATATTCATATATCATACACTAAATAGGGAATATTGCAAAAAGAATCCTAATGCATTTGCATTCCATTTTTAAAAATTTAACTAAAAATATTGTTGGTTTTTTTGGCCTAAAAATAAAATTATTTAAAATATTGAAAATTAATGTAATATATTAAAAAAATATTAAATTATAAGATTTTATGAAAATAATAAAATAATGATGGATACTTGTTTTGTTACAGCATGCTATGTTTTAATTGATTTTTTTCTCTGTCCTTCTTTCCTTTTCTGTCTCCTTCACAGTTCAAGGAGTAGTAGATCTGGTGCGATTGCCCATTGAACAATACAAGAAAGATGGACGCATAATGCGGGGCCTACAGCGTGGTGCTAACTCATTTGGAACAAGTACAGCAATGGCTGCAGTGGAACTTACAAACAAATGTGTTCAAGCTTTGCAAGTATGCATCTATCACTATTATCTTTGTATTCAGTATTAACGTATTCACTATTTCTTTGCATTAATTTGATTAATTAATTTCTTATTAGTTTAGAATAATACAACAGTACTATTCTTATTACTTAACCATGAAAACCTTCAAACAATATTATTATACTGGTCGTAATCCTATTTTTCAGAGTGTTGCCGAAATGACATATGATATGGTATCACCTGGGCCAAGTGTGGTGTCCCACAGGGCAATAACGGCCGCAAATGGCACCCAGTACCGAATGGCCAAGCAACCTGCAGACCTCCGAGAAGGAATGACAAATGCCCTGAATGTTGTCAGACAGGTAGGATTTGATACGGCATCTTCTATTGCACATTTGGTAGTAATTGCTAATCATGCTACAATATTACTCGTATTCCTTAAATACTGCCATCCAATATTTTTTATCCTAGTATTAATGTATTCACTATTTCTTTGCATTAATTTGATTAATTAATTTCTTATTAGTTTAGAATAATACAACAGTACTATTCTTATTACTTAACCATGAAAACCTTCAAACAATATTATTATACTGGTCGTAATCCTATTTTTCAGAGTGTTGCCGAAATGACATATGATATGGTATCACCTGGGCCAAGTGTGGTGTCCCACAGGGCAATAACGGCCGCAAATGGCACCCAGTACCGAATGGCCAAGCAACCTGCAGACCTCCGAGAAGGAATGACAAATGCCCTGAATGTTGTCAGACAGGTAGGATTTGATACGACACCTTCTATTGCACATTTGGTAGTAATTGCTAATCATGCTACAATATTACTCGTATTCCTTAAATACTGCCATCCAATATTTTTTATCCTATGAACAATTCAAATTCATTCTTTAATGCAAAGTCTAAAAATATAAAAACAAATCAGAAGTCAAAAAAATTTCCAAAAAAATCTTAGTAGTAATAATAATAATAATGGATGTCAATAAGGCACCGGTATTCACAAGGTGTGTCCATTGTGCAACTTTTTACCAAACACCACCTTTATTAGAAATATTCTATCACACATTGCATTCAATAGTGACTCCTTCCTTTCAAACACTGCCCTTAATAGTAACTACATCAAGCCTACAGTACACTCAATTGTAATTTGTATCTTTGTTTTCTAAAATCAAATCATTTTCATACTAATACCAGGGCCTTGGAAACACTGCTACTACACTTGTACAAGTCGCTAAAGAGGAGCATTCCCATAAAGGGATATCTGGTGCCGTTGGGGGCATGCTTCGTCAAGTACCCCCCACAATGATCAAGCCTTTAATACTAGCGACTGAGGCAACCTCAAACGTACTGGGAGGGATGAGGAACCAGATGCAACCGGATGCGCGGAAAGAAGATGCAGAAAAATGGAAAACACAAGCGACAATCTAACATGGAAACAAATATGCAGTTGTGTATATTTTATGTATGCAATCTATATGTACAGTATGTATATAATGTGTATATATGTATGTGTGTGTATATATATATATATATATATACATATATATATATTATATGCATGGTTTTACTGAGACACATTGTACTGTATATTTAACCATTTGGGATGTGAATAAAAAATGTTTCTGCATATCCCTTTTGGGGTAGCATGTGCATGTAGGTAGATGTTTTTAATAATTAAATAAATTATTAACCAAATTAAAGCTACAATATATAATCAAGATATAATTAATATATATTTGAAAGAAGTTTTCATTAGCTTTCTTCAGTAAAATCTTTTCTTGAGTTTTTGGATCGCAAGTTACAATTTTTCAGTAATCATCTACAATCGTTTTGTCCTCTGAGACTGCGTGTGAACAAAATTGCGAGTATTAATTTTATCATCAATATTATGCGTTTGTTTGGTTTTTATTATCAATAAGTTTAATAATATTACTAGTAAAGCAAAATAATCTACTTAATAATAGTTGGATCTGGAATTGTTTCCAAATTACTAGACACACTGAATCACATATTAAACGGATTGGGTGGGAGTTCTTTTTTAATTTTTTTTCCAAGATTCTAGGAGAATAAAAGAAATTAATCACTAATCTGTAATGATTCATGTATTAATTTATAATTGTATTAATGTTTATTATTTATTCAAAGTGACTGTCACATACTGATAATGACGTCACATGCACAATGCATGCTAATGGCAGCTCTTAATCAATCAATTTACAATTAATGGACCTTTCCACTAAGCCCCGCTCCTTGGATATTGTTGCTAAGGTCCCACAAAAACGACAGTGCGTAAAAACATACGCAAACGCGTGCGTTTGTAGGACAGCACATGTTTTGAGACGCGCGCGTACTCCTAGCGCGGTTTTGATTGGTCAGTTGTTAAGTTTGACTGACACTCCGGAAAGGTCTATTGACTATGTACTGACAAAAATAAAAGGACAATGTAAACATTTTTTTTTTAACTTGCTTCTTGTTCCCTCATTCATTCTTTTTTTTTTTTGGCTGCCTCCATATTTTTACTTTCATAATTATGCCAAAATACCCAGTAAATCCTGCAGGTAAGCAAAGAACCTTATAAGCAATTAGTATCCAAGTGTATATTTTTACCGGCTATAACTCGAGTTTGCCTATCTTTAAACACTGTGAAAACGATTAGGCGTTTTGCTGGGTGAATACTGCCTTGATATTTATTTGGCTTAAGGAGACGAACCAGCGCATGTAGTGGATTACACTGAGTGCAATTACTTGAGGCCGTGTAAATAAATGATAAGATATATGATGAATTTTACTGATGTTTAATGCGTTTTATTTGTGATGTTACTAGTACTGGTATGGGCATTTATAATGTGCCTCTTCCTTGAGGTTATGAAGCGCAGTTCTTTTCCCTGGTCATTGGATCCACATGCTTTATGTGTAAGCTGCTGGTAATCGGCGCAGGAGCAGGCAACCCCCTCAGGTACCCATTTATACTCCTGTGTGGAGAGAAGCAATGTACACAATTTATGTGCTCAAAGGACACAAGCGAAATGCACAGTGAAAGGATTGAAAACCTGACCTTCACGTTGGGAAACCAAACCGTTCCCGCTGCGCTAAACCACAACAGCTTGCTGTTGCTTTTACAATCAGACATTGGGAAATTTGATTAACTGTTGTAGGCTACGTGTTCCCAAACACACTATAATACAATGGTAGTTATAATGAAAAATTAAATAAAGATTTATTATTTTCTTTGTACCCTCACTGTAATGTAATTTTACTTATGTAGTGTCTATACGACAATACAATTTTCCTTAATTAAATTAATGGCAAAACACAAAGGGATATTTACAAGGTAGTTTAATGTACATTAAAGTAACCAAGTATTTTACTAGCGTGTTAATAATTAAATTTGTCATTTACATTAATAAAGTATAAAACGAGTTGTTAATTGGTATTGTCTAAAATTACGCATGTAGACCTGCGGTCCAGATTCCATAGGCAGTCACTGCTGAACTTTGTGAGAACATACTGATTATTTATAGCTCGTAAAATAAATTCTAGTAGTAGTCGTTACAATGAAAACTATTGACCTCTCTGTACAAGAAGATGTGGATCTTGGATTGATAGTATTCATTATCTGCTTAAGCGTACCTCTACTCATATTAATAATAGTTGGGAATGCCATAGTTATTATTAGTATTTATCGGAAAAGTTCATCTGTAAGGTCACCGAGTGAAATTTTTATATTATCTTTAGCACTCTTTGATTTTCTAACTGGGCTTTTTGGAATTCCATTTGCCGTCATTGGATATCTTATTCGAAAACAATTTTCATATATTGTGAACTGTGCAATTTGGTATTTTGTACCAAATATTATTTGTAGTACTACATCAATTACGAATCTCTTTGTAATCTCAATTGATAGATTTATCGCAATCAAGTACCCTCTTCGCTACCATGTGTGGATGTCGCCTGGAAGAGCAATTCGAATTTGTATTTTTGCTGATTTGTTTGGTATCTTTTTTGGAAGTATTTCGTTTATTGCGACTGCCATTGCGACAGTATTTGTGTCATCACCAAATGTAACATATGAATACGATTGTGGGCAATACCCTCTTTATGATATTTATGGTGGCCTAGTCAGTGATTACGTAATTAGACCAACAATGACTTTGACAATTCCTTTTCTATTTATTCTCTACGGATATATTTTTACAATTGCATCAAAAAAGACAAAAGAAGCTGCTACACGCCGTGGTGAGACAGTTAGCACTCGAGAAATGAAGATCACCAAGACGGCAGCCATTGTACTTCTGGGCTACACTTTGTGTGTTTCACCAAATATTATTAAAAGCAACATTCAGGTTCGCATATATAATGGTTCCACCTGGCTTGTGTGGTACCCTTGGTTTACGGATTTCATGTTATTTTTAAACTCAATGATCAATCCATTTATATACGCAGGTAGAAGTAAAATGATGAGAGAAGACTTCAAAGAAACTATTAATTTTATGATCAGGAAGGCATGTTCACTGCTATATAAAACAAAGAATAAGGATTCAAATTCGTCAATAGGTTTAACGTCATCTGCCATTAGCATACCATTGCCAAGCATCAAAAGTTTTAGTAACGGTTGACATTGTAGTATGTTTTATATAAAGAAATATTCACAAGTAATTAAAATCCGCGAATAAACACCTAATATGACTACAGATTAATTAATTATTAACCAGATTAAAGCTACAATATAGGCCTATAAGATATTTGACAGGAGTGCCTGAAAGAAGTTAACATTTTACAGCATTCATTAGCTTTCTACAGTAAAACCTTTCTTCAGTAATCCTCTACAATCGTTTTGTCCTTAATAATAGTTGGATTTGGAATTGTTTCCCAATTACGAAAACACACTGAATCACATTGGGTGGGAGTTTTTATTAGAATTTTATCCAAGATTCTATGAGTATAAAAGAAATTAATCACTAATCTGTAATGATTCATGTATTAATTTATAATTATATTAATGTTTATTATATATTCAAAGTTACTGTCACATACTGATAATGACCTCACATGCACAATGCATGCTAATGGCTTAATCAATCAATTTATAATTAATGGACCTTTCCACTAAGCCCGCTCCTTAGATATTGTTGCTAAGGGCCCACAAAAACGACAGTGCGTAAAAACATACGCAAACACGTGCGTTTGTAGGACAGCACGTGTTTTAAAATGCGCGCGTATTCCTAGCGCGGTTTTGATTAGTCAGTTGTTAAGTTTGATTGACTGACATCCGGAAAGGTCTATTGACTATGTGCTGACAAAAATATAAAGGACAATGTAAGAATATTTTCTTTACTTGCTTCTTGTTCCCTCAATCATTCTTTTTTTTTTTTTTTTTTTTCCCTCATTCATTCTTTTTTTTTTTTGGCTGCCTCCATATTTTTACTTTCATATGCCAAAATACCCAGTAAATATTGCAGGTAAGCAAAAAACCTTATAAGCAATTCCAAGTGTATATTTTTACTGGTTAATACTGTGAAAACGATTAGGCGTTTTGCTGGGTGAATACTGCCTTGATATTTATTTGGCTTAAGGAGACGAACCAGCGCATGTAGTGGATTACACCGAGTGCAATTACTTGAGGCCGTGTAAATAAATGATAAGATGATGAATTTTACTGATTTTTAATGCGTTTTATTTGTTGGGTTTTATGATTCAACAACTTGCAGTTGCATTGACAATTACTGAGAAGTTTAATTAATTGTAGGCTACGTGTTTTCTTTAAAAAACCACACTATAATTAACATGGTAGTTATAATGAAAATTAATATCAAAAATGTATTATTTTCCTCGTACTCTCACTGTAATGTAATATTACTTTTGTAATGTTGTCTATGTATGTGTTTTAATGTATACGACAAAACAATTTTCCTTAATCAAATCAATGGTCAAACCACAAAGGGCTATGTATTTACAAGGTAGACTGGCAGAAAAAATGTTTTGAAAATAAATATATAGTGTTCTCCAAGTCCACATGCTTTGTTGCCATACATTATTGTTTCAGTGCATAGTGAAACACGGCTTTCTACCCAATCTCACCAAAACAGCCTGGTGATACCTCGATGATGTAAACCGGAAAACCATAAAATGCCGTTTTTTCCAGTTTTATTTCAGTGTCTAACTCCCTAATGAATGTTTTTGCCAATTATATTTCCACTAAGCATTCCTCTTCATAGGTTTTGGTAATTGATTGTGTCGTGGATGCACTAACCTCGGATCAGCGAGTTGTACATGCTTCTCTTGATCTTAAGACACACACAAGTAAAAATGATATTCAAGGAAACGAACTTGCGAAGCGAATGCTAAAATAAGACTATAGATCTTAATATTTTTCAATGCTTTTTAAATTTTATTACTCTTGGTATCAATGGTTTTATATTTTTGTATTTTACTCTATTGATTCTATTGTAAGATTTTCATTTCAATCTTGAATTGTATTTTGAGAATTTTTATACCGGAATAAGAAAAAAAAATAGTAGGCCTATTATTATTATCTCCGCAAGGAGATATATATTTTCAGTCGTGTAAGTTTGTGTTTGTGTGTGTGTGACGTTTTGCTGATTTCGTGTGGGTTTTTTTTTTTTTTTGTGTGTTCGAAATATCTATATACTGATATAGTACAGCAGTTATATAAAACTGCTGTACAGACATACTTGAACATGACAGGGAGTGTTAGGAATAACCCAATGAAGAAATGATTAAATTTATTTTGGTGACTTTCCGGAGTAGGGTGTGGATGAGAGGACTATTAAATGGATTAAGTGCAAACGTCCTATACAAGATATTTAAAAAAAACTAATGAACAGATATGAATGAAATTTTCGTGAAAGTTTAACCAAGTTACAAGGAAGAGATTTCAAGTGTTGGTCACGATCCATATTCGGGGGTGAACTTGAGGGTCATTGAAACTTCTAAGGTCCTGTGTGTTTCTTGTGTTCAAAATACTGTATCTCAAAAACAGCTGCACCGATCTAAATGCCATTTACATGGATTGTTAGCTATAACCCAATAAATGAAGTGTTCATACTTTAGTGTCGATATTTGGACCATTCGAAGCAAAACGTCGCAGATCAGATGTCAGGTGTGTTAGTGTAATTTTTTAGTAGATTGTAGTTAGGGGTTGGGAAGTAGGAACATATTTTTTGAGGAATTATTTTTATAGAAAGAGATTGGCGGTGGGCGGAGATATCGTAAGTCAGAAGATGTAAGGAATTGGCAGGTATGCAACTAATACTATCAAAGGTGTTTCCGATTAGCTGGTTAGTGTATATTTTTTAAGTAGGTGATGGCTTGAAAGTAAGTGGGTTGTCACATTTTTAACTCCGATGAGGAACTCTTGGAGTACCTTTCTGATTGATTAATTACCAGTAGGGCCTAAGTAACGGATTTTTTTGTGTGAAGTTCACCTCAAATACCCAGGACTGTACATACTGCCATTACTCCTAACATAGAACACATAGTACAGATTGTGCGGTCGGTTAACGATGTGTGCAATGGGCGTAAAGAGCCGGGTACTCACTGCGCGCGCGACGGCGACGCGACAGTGACGACGAACGCACGCGACGGCGCTGAACCAACAAATCGCTTTTTAATGAGGATCCGTTCAGACTGCCACTGACAATTAGCGGACAACGTTATGTCATCTATCTGTTGCCGGAAGAAGAGGTGGATTCGTCTTGCGACGGTCGTCTTTAAGGTCATGAGTTCGAATCGCGTATTGGTATTCAATTTTTTTTCCTGTGTTAGCAGAAATAGTCGTTGTTTTTTGTTCTGTTTTTAAAAACTTTTAATCTTGTATTCTGTTTTTCTATGTTTTTGCACAAGGGTTTTCACACGGGTACTTTTGGAACTTTCCGTGTTCTTCAAATATGACGTCATTTTACACATTCTGAAAAAATAACAGTCACAGTTCGATTATCGAGTTGGTTTTCAAAAAGAAGTATTAAAAATTGGCAGGTATACAACTAGACCTAATACAATAATAGGCCTAGACGTTTCCGGTTACTGTATATTTTTTAAGTAGGTGGTGGTTGGAAAGTAAGTGGATTATCACATTTTGACACTGTAATTTCAGTAGTTGAAAATAAAATGTTTCAATATTATATGTATCTTGGATTCTGTGTTCAAAACGTAACATGTGTAGTGACAAGTAGGCCGCAGTGAATTTTGGTGAAATCATTTCGGATACAAAATCTAGAAATGGCCACTCTAAACACTAAAAGTGAAAATAGTGCCCCTCATTGAAACAAAAAATTGTGCGTTTTTGAAGAGGAGTGGAGCGAAATTAGGTGAGGTAGGTGATTGAAGTAAAATAGGAACATATTTTGTGAGATTTATTTTATAGAAAGGATTTGCGGTAGGCGGAGATATGCTCTTTACTGAGTGTTCTTCTTCTTCTTCTTCTTCTTCTTCTTCTTCTTCTTCTTCTTCTTCTTATTATTATTATTATTATTATTATTATTATTATTATTATTATTATTATTATTATTATTATTATTATTGTTATTATTATTATTATTATTATTATTATTATTGTTATTGTTATTGTTATTGTTGTTATTGTTATTATTATTATCATCACTATTACTATTATATTATGTTATTATATTAGTTATGTTATTATTATCACTATTATTATTATTATCACTATTATTATTATTATTATTATTATTATTATTATTATTATTATTATTATTATATTATTATTATTATTATTACTATTACTATATAATTATTATATCATTATTACCTCCAGTGGAATTAGCCTTGCTTTTGTGCGAATCCTCATACAAAGGGCCTAGGAATGAACTAAATTGCATTTCTGTCTAAGTCATTTTACTTCATTGTATTTCTTTTAACAATAATGCAGCATGCTTATTAGTTTTACTGAAAACATAGTTGATATTTGATTGACTTTCTTTTGACAGACCACAGTAATGTTTCTACTTGTAATTAACGGTGTTTTTAAATGTTAATTACTCGGCTGTCACTTGCCTGTAGTTTTGAAATGCACCCTCTTTACATCAATTGCCTCGATATCATTTGCACTAAAGAACTGATCGGAACTTTGGCTTTCGTTTCTATAACTGCATCAACGAAACACAAGCGCCAATATCCGACTCATTACATCTTCAGTGAGATATTACTGGATAAATTGAATACAAACCAGTTGTAGACTATAAAAAACATTTCGGAATTAGCCATTAAAATGGCGACGGTTGACTTATTTGTACAAGACGATGTCGCTATCGGATTTGTAGTTTTTATTATCTGCTTAAGTGTCCCTCTAATTTTATTAATTGTCATTGGAAACACCGTCGTTATTGTTAGTATTTATCGAAAAAGTACATCTGTAAAATCACCGAGTAACATTTTTATATTATCTTTAGCTCTCTTTGATCTTCTAACCGGTTTAATTGGGATTCCATTTTCCGTCGTTGGATTTCTTCTTCGTAAACGATTTATATATACTGTGAACTGTGCAATTTGGTATTTTGTGCCAAACATTGTTTGTATCACGGCATCGGTTTCGAACTTACTCATGATTTCTTTAGATCGATTCCTTGCAATTAAATATCCTATTCAATACCACGTCTGGATGTCGCCGGAAAGAGCGATTCGAATTTGTATTTTTGTTGATTTACTCGCTATTTTATGGGGAAGTATTTCTTTTGGCGTTGCTGGCATTGCCGCGGCCGTTTATCCATCACCAAATGTAACGTATGAATACAACTGCGGACAATCTCCTCTTTATGAAATGTATGGTCAACCTATAAATGATTATGCCAATAGGCCAATTATAGGTTTTACAATTATTTTTCTATGTATTCTCTATGCGTATATTTTCACAATTGCATCAAAAAAGGCGAAGGAAGCTGCTACTCGCCGTGGTGAGACAGTTAGCACCCGAGAAATGAAGATCACCAAGACGTCAGCAATAGTGCTTCTGGGCTACACTCTGTGTATTGCACCTAGTATCCTAAAAGACACCGTCCAGGGCTACATCGATGCTGGCTCCACCTGGCTTGTTTGGTACCCATGGTTCACTGATTTCATATTGATTTCAAATTCGATGATAAATCCATTTATTTATGCAGGTAGAAGTAAATTAGTAAGAAAAGACTTCTCAGAAACCATATACTTCATATTTGGCAAGATGTGTCCCAGACTACTAAGACAAACAAAAGAAAGCAAAGCGCTCAGACCACAATCATCAAAACCTGATATTGGATCAAGTTTTTCTGACACTGGAATGTCACTTACAAATATTAGTAAAAGTTTTAGTAACAGTTTGAATGATTAGACGAAGGACAATTTACAAATTAATTAATTTTAGTTTTTGCGTAAACTTATTAATATATTTTCTGTCACATAAATGTTTGACCTTTTTACCCCATAATTTTATCCCCATTTCTTTCGATCAATGTATACCATTTCAATCAATTTTATTATGACCATTCATAATTAACAAACATAACAACAGACAGACAAACAACGATAAAAATAAAACTTCCATGTTGGCTTAGATAATATATTATAATTCCATGTCATTTGGCAGAAGGGAATGATAAAACGTCAACTGAAAATTACTATAGTAACAAATTAATTTAACACAGACATTTGAAGTACAAAATGAGTTTAATAATTTCCTAACAAAATTTAATGAATTAAGAAATTTGATCACATATCAACAACAAAAAAAGAAAGAAGAAAAAAAATACCCAGATTTAATGTGTTATTGCTATTTGTTAATTTTGTTACGATTTATTTAACAAAAAGGTTAAAATTGTACTGGTTTCTAGTTTCTCTATTTACGTAGTTGTTGAACGATAACAGTTTCTTCGATGATGACAAGCGTTTCTGAATAAATCAACCATTTTATTCAATGTTCAAACACAACAAACATGCCTAGAATGGAACAATATAATGAGGGAAGACGCCGTTTCGACGGTTAACACGACGTCCTTAAAGGATAGTATGTATGTAAAAACTAAAAACATAAATTACAGACAATTTCACGCGTAATCTGGCTCACCCAAACTTTTAATTCCTCCTTACTTTTCGGACTGGTAGGCCTAGTCACCAGTTCCATAACTGATTTAGTACGTTTTTGTGTACATAACCTACTGTATTTATTTGTAATAGTCGATTAGGATACGTAGCCGTTGCACCTACGTGTATAGATTTCGGTCTAAGTAACAATTTTCTGTTACACATGGCAGCAAGGTCTAATGCTGCCATCGCTTTTTACTAAACAAGATGACAGCAGATTAAAGAAGAGGTTTACCAATTGAAAATAACTTTAGATAAGAACTGATTTGTATTAGAGTACACAGTCGTGTCGTCACAACACCAGGACGTTGGTTACCGTTCATTAGGCCAGAATGACTTCATAATCTTAATTGTTTAGAATAGGCTTTCTGGAATAGGCATTTTAAAACCTAATAATTTACCATCAAAATGTACTACAAACAGAAATCTGAGATGACTGGACTAAAAAATAAACTGCCAAGAGTTCTGTACGAGTTGCCCAAATCGTTCGAGTCCTCTTCTAGTTTAGCGAGTTAAAACTCGGCAAAAAGACCTAGATGTGAGAGCTTCTAAGTCTACAATAGTTTCACGTACAAATAAACATATACCGTATTTTTCATGTTAATATAACCCAGTGTATTAATACTGTATCTGTTACATAATTATTTTTTATTGTTAGACTGTGTTGCTCTTAGGAAAGCACAACTGTGTATTTAACCTTCACAGGTATGGTATTAGTATTTGTGGGTTCTAGAATGTTGAGTTGAATTATTTGTAAACCAACGTGAATCTGCTATTCTGCTATTCTTGCTATTGTTGGATTCCTTCTTCGTCGACAGTTTCTTTATAGCGTGAACTGTGCAATATGCTATTTTGCACCAAATATGATATTTGTACAAGTCTCAATACTGAACTTGGTATTGATCACATTCGATTGATTCATTGCGATTAAATATCCCTTTCGATACCATAAGTGGATGTCGCCTGGAAGAGCAATTCGCATTTCTATCTTTGCAGATCTATTCGGTATTCTCTTTGGAAGTATGTCTTTCATTATCACTGTCGTAGCTGCCATTTTTGTTCCATTACCAAATGTTACTTATGAATATGATTGTGAACAATTTCCCTTATATGAATATTACGGTGCACCCGCATATAATTACTTAGCAAATCCGCTTGGAGGTTTGACGATTCCTACTATGTTTATTCTCTATGCGTATATTTTCACAATTGCCTCAAAGAAGGCGAAGGAAACTGCTACACGACATGGGAAAAGAGTCGCCACTCGAGAAATGAAAGTAACCAAGACCACAGCCATAGTACTTTTGGTTTACATTTTGTGTATTGCGCCAAGTGTCGTTAAAAGTGTTTCCAGGAAAGTATCGAAAATGGCTCAAATTGGCTTGTGTGGTACCCATGGTTTGCAGATTACATAATCGTCTCGAACTTTGTTTAATCCGTTTATATATGCAGGACAGAGTAAGTTGATGAGGTGAGAATTTAATGAAACGATTAAAATTATCGTTAGCAGGGTTTGTAAAAATTCCACTAGAAAAATTGCACCGAAAGAGTCTAACTAAATACAGATAGACTTTATTGTGATTCACATTGTGATTGAGATAACCAATATCAACAAAACATTAGTAAACTCTTTTTATTTGAACGTCGAATGCAATCTGGTTCAGTAAACAAACCATTCCATCATGAACATCAGTAATTTGTGTAGGTTGTATTGTAGGCAACCGATTCTACCTAAAATTTAATGATCAGTTTCGGTGACAAGTTGATACATTTTTGTACTGGTGCCAGCACCAGTCATCAATCACTGATCAGAATCCCTTAATCAGGTTAGTGACGTCATCATGACTATCTTGAAACTGATACTTATCAGATCTTTTAGGTATAATCGGGTGGATTGTGGCATAGAGATTCTCTATGATTGTAGCATATTTTCTATTATGTTGCTCTATAGTATTGCGTGTATCAAATCATGAACTTCAACTATAAACAACTCTAAGAAACATGCGTATGCATAGCCTATACACATTTCTTTTTCTCTCTCCCCTCTTCTTTTTTTTCTTTTCTTCTCTCTTTATAATATATTTATAGACAAAAAAAATAAAAGAAAAAGGGAAGAGGGATGAGAGAAAAGAAATTTTATTTAAAGCGCTGCATAATACCTCTATATAAGTAATGTAATTCGATTCGTAAATATTCTTAACTCGTGTCTTGGACTTGTAGTGTATGGGCCCTAAAATTTACGGTTTCCTTTATTTTATATCACTTCATGCCATGATTATCTAGAATCTGTTCAACGCCTTTCATTTACCTATGACAATCTCATTTCCATACTTCTTGGTGAAAAGGAAAAAGATGTTCTCCCTTGGCCCTCTATACCAAAGGAAAACCCACCCATACCCACACTGTTGTATCTTCGGTTCTGTAAATACTAGAACGGAAAGTATACCTAATAGGATTTCCATGCAGTCCTAATATATTTCTTATTAACACAATATTAAAAGAAAAAAAGTACTGTAAAGTCATAGCTAACTTCATTGTTTGCTCATAAAGCGAACATTTCAATTGTTGACTTAAGTATTTCAACTAAATCTCTATTTACAGAAACTTGAAACTTGCAAATTGCAATACAGTAGTATTTTATATATAGTAATTGACGGGAAGGGTTTAATATTTTCACGGTACTCCAAAACATGGTAATTTTCGATTTAAAATATGGTCAACAGTATTCTATATAAGAATCTCAAGCACCCCTTTGCTCAGTGGTTCGTGCGTGGTAAGCCCCTCCCTGCCCAGATTTTTCTTCAAATCCGCCTTCTCTAAATTATTGCTCGAGATATCGCCAATGTAAACAGGGCTTACTTGGTTTTACTTGGTTCTAGAGACGAAAGCAATAGCGTATACGCCCATCCTCAGCTAGAGTTGCTTGGTCGGTTCAGATAAAAGGTTGGTACAAATTAGAGTGGGTGATTAATATGAACTTTTGAAAAGCGAAAAATTGGTAACAGAGTTCAACGCTAACAACATCTGAAAGATCACAATATGCATTATAGAGATTGCTTAATCATATTTTTGTCAAATATATTTGCTTAATCATAAGCTTGTATTACACCCAATTGAATTGTGTTCTGAATACATGTCACACGGCGCATGTTCATATATGCATTTCAATTTATCGCTAGAAATAACCAGCCAGTTATTCTTCATTATGTATTGTTGAAACCATTTGGAAATCTTTCGGATTATAAAGGCTAAAATATTGTAAATTTTAAATGGCGACGGTTGATCTTTTAGTACAAGACGATGTTTCTATTGCATTGGTTATTACTGTGTGCTGTTTAAATGTTCCTTTGATGCTGGCGATTGTGTTTGGAAATCTTATAGTTATACTCAGTATTTACAGAAAACGTGCGTTGGCACAAACTCCAAGCAATATCTTCATGTCGTCTTTAGCTCTAGCTGATATTATGACTGGCCTAATTGGAGTTCCTTTCAGCATCGTTGGATATCTGCTCCGTAAACGTTTTCTTTATTCAGTTAACTGTGCAATTTGGTATTTTGTGCCATGCATAATATTCATACACGTTTCTGTGTTCAACTTGATTGTCATCACTTTAGATCGGTTCCTTGCGATCAGATATCCTCTTCGATACCACGTATGGATAGCTCCTGAAAGAGCGATTCGAATCTGTGTTTTCGTTTATTTTCTTGGTACATTCCTTGGAAGTAGTTCGTTTATTGTAGCTGCTGTTGCTAGTATTTTTCTACCAACACCAAATGTGACATTTGAATACGACTGTGGAAGTTCTGCCTTTTATGAAATTTATGGTGCTCCCGTTTTTTATTACGTCACAAATCCTGTCGCAGGATTAACTATTCCATGTCTATTTATTTTATACTTGTATATTTTCTCAATTGCGTCAAAAAAGGCGAAGGAAGCTGCCACACGCCACGGAAAGAAGCTTCTTAAACGAGAAATGAAAGTGACCAAGACAACAGCCATAGTACTTCTAACTTACACTCTGTGTATTGCTCCAACCGCTTTTAAAAACATCGTCCAGGGCTACATTGACAACGGTTCCACCTGGCTTGCGTGGTACCCATGGTTTTCGGATTTCTTAGCGATCACAAATTCGATGTTAAATCCGTTCATTTACGCTGGAAGAAGCAAAGAGATGAGAAAAGAATTTAAAATAACAATCAAATTCATAGTTAGTATTCTGTGTCCAAGAATATACAAAATGGAAAAGGATGGGCCTAACAAGAACAGCCAACGATGGTCATCAAAAGCGAATATTACCACTACCACGACGAATGTTGAATTTTCCGATGAAGAAATAAAGAGTATAAGCAAAAAACATAACACTATCCAGAAAGATATTCAGTAGAGGCCAACCACACTCTTCAGGCGGATGTGTACAACCCTTTAAATATATAATTTATATAAGGAGGTCGAAATATTGGTTTTCTCCAATAAAGTGTTTCTAAAGTCCATGCAAGAGTATTCTTTTCTTAATCTTTTAATATAAAAAGATGGTTTAGATTTTATCAATTATATCATGACACAGGCCTAATATTAAATGTTTATACATACATTTAATATGTCTATAACTCATTAGGTATTGTCATTGTCGTTATTATTGTCATCATGATCATCATCATTAGTCATTAAGCCTTTTTATTGTATTATTAATATTATTTTTAATAACATTTTTATTAATGCAGCTTTTATTAATACTAATTGAATATAAATAAAAAGAAATAATGGATCAATTCTCTCTTTTTTTCATTGGTATATTTTAAACCAACCTACGGTAACCGAAATGTTAGGGGCGAGTTTGGTAGGGGCGAGTTTGTTAGGGGGCGAGTTTGTTAAAGAGCGAATTCGTTAGGGGCGAGTTTGTCAGGAGCGAGCTTGTCAAGGGGCGAGTTTGTCAAGGGGCGAGTTTGTAGAGAGGGCGACTCTGTTGTGTCAGGAGGCGAGTTTGCTAGGGGACGAGTTTGTCAGGGGGCGAGTTTGTCAAGGGGCGAGTTTGTAAAGGGACGAGTTTGTAAGGGACGACTGTGTAGAGACAGGGGGAGAGTTTGTTAGGGGCGAGTCTGTAAGGGGAGAGTTTGTAAGGGCGAGATTGCAAGGGGCGAGTTTGATAGGGGGAGAGTTGACTGGTCTCCTCAAAAAACAACACCGGTAAATTAATTTTAGTTGGGAGAGTCGAGTAACCACCGGTAAAACAGGGTCACCGGCTAATTACAGTCTCGGCGATGATTTGAGACGATCTCGTTAACCAAGCCTTCTCGAATAAGGACTTAAAACGGGAGGTATTAATTTTTTTTCTCCAATTAATCTATTTTCTTTTTAATTAATAATCAAATTTTTTATCCAATTTATTTATTCATTTTAATTTTCTACAAATGATCATTCTAAATAATGTGAGCGTTCGCTCTTGATGCACAAAAAAAAAAACATTATTTAGAATGATCATTTGTACAAAATTAAAATAAATAAATAAATTGGGAAAAAAAAAACTGAGTACCAAGACGCGTTTCGAACTCACGACCTTAAGTTTTTTAGAAAACATCCTTAATGTCGTATTGCCGTCTAATCATGTGGACCGACGTCACGCAGTTTAACCAGACTTCTTACGCTAAGTTAAATCAAGGGTAAATACTATGAACTTTGAAGAAGTCGGTAAATTATTGGAAATCTTAATATGATTCTTTACCATTGGTGAAAACTATAAAAAATAAAAATAATCCGAATACAATTAAACAACAATATTAATGAAGTAAAGCGGTGCTTAATCAAGTTTCGCTATTTATCTCATAAGAAACATTACTTGCTCTCTAAAAGATCACCGTATCAAATTATAGAAATGACCTAATCATACTCTTTCTCTTTAATTACTTCATCAACATAATTTCAAGGGAAAAGTTTACAATCCAGTGGTCATTATTCTCTCAATGCATACCTAAATAAGTATGTCAAAATATATCATGTGATTCATTGTATATAAAGCCAGTTATTCTTTGAGTATAGTTGGAACTCTTTGGAACCCTTTGACCTATAAACGCGCTTCTTGTAAATTATAAATGGCGACGGTTGATCTTTTAGTACAAGACGATGTTTCTATTGTACTGGTTATTACTGTGTTCTGTTTAAATGTTCCTTTGATGCTGGCGATTGTGCTTGGAAATCTTATTGTTATACTTAGTATTTACAGAAAACGTGCGTTGACACAAACTCCGAGCAATATATTCATGTCGTCTTTAGCTCTAGCTGATATTATGACTGGCCTAATAGGAGTTCCTTTCAGCATCGTTGGATATTTGCTCCGTAAAAGTTTACTTTATTCAGTTAACTGTGCAATTTGGTATTTTGTGCCATGCATAATATTCATACACGTTTCTGTGTTCAACTTGATTGTCATTACTTTGGATCGGTTTCTTGCGATCAAATATCCGCTTCGATACCACGTGTGGATGGCTCCCGAAAGAGCGATTCGAATATGCGTTTTCGTTTATTTTCTTGGTATATTCCTCGGAAGTAGTTCGTTTATTGTAGCTGCTGTTGCTAGTATTTTTGTACCAACACCAAATGTGACATTCGAGTACGATTGTGGAAGTTTTGTCTTTTATGACATTTATGGTGCTCCTGTTTATTATTACTTCACAAATCCTCTTACAGGATTAACTATTCCATGTCTATTAATTTTGTACGCGTATATTTTCTCAATTGCATCAAAAAAGGCAAAGGAGGCTGCTACACGCCATGGAAAGAAAATCAACAAACGAGAAATGAAAGTAACCAAGACAACGGCTATAGTACTTCTGGTTTACATTATGTGTATGGCACCAACTGCTTTAAAAGACGTCGTTCAGAACTACATTGATAACGGTTCCACTTGGCTTGCGTGGTACCCATGGTTTTCGGATTTTATTGCCATCGCAAATTCGATGCTAAACCCGTTGATCTACGCGGGAAGAAGCAAAGTGATGAGAAAAGAATTTAAAATAACAATCAAATTCATACTTAGTATTCTTTGTCCAAGAATATACAAAATGGAAAAGAATAGGCCTAACAAAAACAGCCAACGATGGTCATCAAAAACAAACATTTCCACTACTTCGTCGAATGTTGAATTTTCGGTAACCAATGAAGATATAAATGTTGCAAGTAAACGTTGTAGCACTATCCCGAAAGTAGAGTAGAACCTTTTGGACAAAGATACGTCAGTCTTTTCTTAAAGGACAATTTTGTTGTGGTTCAGTGAGTCGAGTGCCCGGGTGGCTGAGTGGTAACACATGTGCGACGTTAGCTAGAACCTTAAAATCGGCACTGACCGCGACAATCCTCGCTCAGGGTTTGATTGGTATAAGTCTTCTCGGATAGGAAGGAGACCCAGTGTTCTCATTTAGCCTAGTGTGCACTTTTTTAGTTCATTCCAGCTCCTTTATAGAATGATGAAAATGAAGCTACAAGGGCCTCTCAATCAGGGGCCACTCAGTATCCATGGACCATTTATTTGTTCACATTTTGTTTTTCATATTTTTGTTTCTTCCTAGGATAGGTTTTATTAGTCACCAGTAGGGAACAGTTAAATTATTTCACTGTTAAAGCTAACGTAATTCAAACCACAGGAAAGGTGCAATTATTGATGAAATATTTCATGAACTTAAAAATAAATCATCTAAGTTAAGCTCGTAATTATAGTGTTAACCATACATGTCTCTTATACACATATTGTTATTATTATTATTATTATTATTGTTATTATTATTATTATTATTATTATTATTATTATTATTATTATTATTATTGTATCTTCACATCGACCCATAAATCTGAATAGGGCCTACTTAGTTGATCAGAATAATACAATTTAATTATCGATTGAAAAATATTACTATGTCTATGTATGTAGTAGGGCTCAGAATCGACAATGTGGAAGAAAGTAGATGAAATCTAAGTTAATAATAGTTCACAAAGAAGGAAGAAAATTTGTTGAAATTTCTATGGTATGGGGGTGGGGAGGGGCTGGTGCAGAAGTTTCGAATTTGAGATATTGTTTCACAGCCTCTATCATAATAGTTATCCTCGAAATGTATTGCAAGAGTATTTCACGTGGATGGTAAAATGTCTTGAAATATTTGTACATTACATTCTGGTACCAACAGTAATTAATTGTCACCCTGTTCACAATTTTCTGAGTTGTTCTTGTTGCACTTATTTCAAGTAGATAGATATTGCTACCGGCACTCCTCCCCTAAGTTCATCTGATTTCTGCCACCGTGCCTCATCATTACCCTAGGAATCCTCCTCTACTCTTATTCTAATTTGTTTCCCGATTTCTTTCGGCGTTATGTTTTCTATAGATTATATAATCCAAAATTATCTCTTCGATCGGTAATGAATCGAATTTAATGAGTTTGAATCGAATTTAATGAGTTTGTTCAAGTTTTCCTGTTCACCTCGAACGAATGCCATGTCATCCTATTGAAAATGTAGGTGGCGCTAGGTTTGTTTGTAGGTCACCATAGAGATATAATAAGAATACAATAATAGTTGTTTAATAGCTGTATGGTCTAGACATACAGTTTAGGCAGTGACACGGTGGAAGTAGGCTAGGCTTAGAGATTCTTACACATCTAATGCCGAGTCAGTTGTCACCGAATCATGTGACTGTGACAGGCCCGTATCCAGGGGGGTTTTTTATGGTTCGGGAGAACCCCTCTTTTCTAGCAAACCCCCCTCTTTTTTGGCAAACCCCCCTCTTCAAATTTCCCAAATAAGTCCTCCAACCCAACTAATGCACTGCAGACCCACCCAAACACAGACGTTTTCATATCTGCTTTTATAGCATTATATAGACCCATAAAGCACAAAAATCCTCTTGCTTTGGGGGTTTTCGGCGACCCCACCGGGGCTTCTACGTGGACCTCACGCCCAGAAACCCCCCTGGAAGAACCTGGCCACGGGCCTGGTCAACTAGATGCCTCTGCATCTGATTAGAATTTACTTCTCATGGAGATGAAGCCTTATCGAAATCTAGAGACAGTGCTTTTTGTGAGCAGTTAATGCAATCAAGGTAATTCAACAAAAGGACGCACATCTCCGCTCTCGAACATAGCGCGTGCGTACAGTCCTTTGATCTTTACTGTGGCATCGACAATCCGATACTAGTTCCGAGTACAGGCGTCAATTATTAGTCTATGCGTGCCATTCGTTTTATGGTGTTAGTTTTTATTTTATTAATTTTGGGTACTTCGCGCAATGTCTGTTACATTTGATTTTTTTTTTACCGCGAGCTTGTTAAATGCTTCTATAAACTGCAATTTGATTTGTGAAAATTGACCAAGAAAATGAAAAGTTATAGCAATTCAAAATTTACGAATTTTATAAAATTTTATGTTCTTATGTAACATTAATCTGTCATTTTGACAATGTTGGCATAAGGTGCCGAGGACGAACATTTGAGTATATACGGAACATTAATTTTTTTCTGCGAAGTGAGTCTCATGAACGACAATTCACCACAATTTTGGTAAAATTAATGTTGAAATGAAGAATATATTTCATTCTAATGTTACTGCAAAATATCATTAGGCCTTTGTAATCACCGCACGACGCGCGACTAACATGGCAACTAACACGCGCGTGGGTAAATCGTCACGTACGCTGACGGTTTATGGTCTGGTTGCTATGGTTTTTGTGACGTTCAGCGTGTAGGGACGCACGTGCGCCTAGAATGTCGATGCCAGAGTTATAACCTTTGATGTCCCGAGATGTGCGTCCTTTTCTTGAATTACCTTGATGCAATATACAGATTAATATTTAAACTAAATTATGACTTTTTTTCTTGTCCTCCTTTGTGTTATACCGTTCTCATGTTTATAAATGATTTACTTTAGTTTTTTATATTTGTTTTATTGGTGCTCGTATTTTGGTGCTATGAAGGTCAAAAGTTTAAAATGCAATATTAAAATTGCTTACCGTTCATTTATTAAGGCCAATTCAGACAGCGTCGTACGACGCAGCCCGACGCGATTTGTTGTCGCGTCGGGTCTATGTGAGTTAAACGCAGACGCGATGGTTTGCGTTCGGCGCAGTCGCGTCGTAGACTATTAAACATGTTTAATATTTCTCACCACGGCTTAAGACTGTCCCCGACGATAAATCGGGTCGGGCTGCCCAGGCTGACGCTGTCTGAGTTGGCCTTTACGTGTAAAGCCAAGAACTGACTACATCGTACGAAATTCGTACGGCCGTTAGCCGAGTACGACTCAAACTCCGTTCCCTGTGAGCGCTAGACGACGCGACGCCGTTTATTGATTATCGGTTGCAGTCTGAACAGATCGTCATTGTAAAATAAGAAGAAATCCACGAATAACTAAAATTCACAAAGCCACAATTAAGGTCGGATATCCATACCACAACTAGGCCTACTTAACGTATTCTATTCAACATACTTCAGTGTAAGACTCACCAACAGGATAAAACACCAACTAACCGGCCTCCCACTATATACCGGTACTAAAAGCTATACAGTATATAGGCCTATTGTATACGTTATTTAAAATTGTTTATATTTTTTCAATCAGCGCAAAAATTAGATATTCCGTAACATTCTAAAGTCATTAGACAGACCTTAAGAAACATTTTCAAAAAATCACTGAAGGCCACTGCATTAAACTCGTTTTCAATTGATATAAATGAATTAGTTAACAAAGGACCAGTTAATATATATTAAACTCAATTTTGCTGTATTTTTAATCCATGCCGAAATGCGCATGTCAAAACATGTTAGAAACAAATTACGCGTGTTAGGCCTGTTGTTGGAACTCTTTTGAACATAAGACTTCAAAGATTTCAACTGCAAATTCAAATGGCGAAAGTTGATCTTTTGATACAGGACAATGTTTCCGTTGCATTGGTTATTTTTGTTTTCTGTTTAAATGTTCCTTTGTTGGTTACGATTGTAATTGGAAATTTTATCGTTATCTTTGTTGTTTACCGAAAACGTGCGTTAGCACAAACCCCGAGTAACATCCAAATGTGACATTCGAGTACGATTGTGGAAGTTTTGTCTTTTATGACATTTATGGTGCTCCTGTTTATTATTACTTCACAAATCCTCTTACAGGATTAACTATTCCATGTCTATTAATTTTGTACGCGTATATTTTCTCAATTGCATCAAAAAAGGCAAAGGAGGCTGCTACACGCCATGGAAAGAAAATCAACAAACGAGAAATGAAAGTAACCAAGACAACGGCTATAGTACTTCTGGTTTACACTCTGTGTATGGCACCAACCGTTTTTAAAAAACTCGTCCAGGGCTACATCGATGATGGTTCAACCTGGCTGGTGTGGTACCCGTGGTTTTCGGATTTCACAGCGATCGCAAATTCGATGCTAAATCCGTTGATCTACGCCGGAAGATGTAAAGTGATGAGAGAAGAATATATAAACACAATGAACTTTATAGCTAGTAAGTTGTGTCCAAGATTTATAAACAAAATCGACACAACTGACACTGATTTTGAGCCTAACCAGAACAACCAACGACGGTCATCCACAACGAATATGTTCATTCCTTGTTCAGTCACCGATTAAGACTGAGTATCACCAAATGTTCAGGCAATATTCAAAAAGATCTTCGGTAGAGTGGATACCATGGTATAATCTTACAAAGAAGTAAATAGTTTAGTGATGCCTTTATTTTATTTTATATTTCTTTTTGTTCAATATTTAGGATAACATTAATACAGTACATCATTGTTGTAGTAGTCGTGAAGGTAAAAACAGGTTATTATTATAAGTCAACCATGATGTCATCATTGTAACTCCAACGTCATCTTCCTATCCCAAACCGCATACTAATTTCGTGACATGTTGGCGGTTCGTGTGTGCAAAAGGTCAAACAAACATGTATCGCGCACCATTATTAGCTTATTTATAGTAACATATTTTTTTCTGATCCGAGTGGTTATAATGTATTTGCGATATGAACCTTTCCAGAATGTCAATAAAACTTAACAAATGACCAATCAGAACAGGCCTAGGAATACACGTGTGTCTAACAAGCACATTGTTGTCTAAAGCCAGGAACACACTGCGCCCGATGACGGTCGTCGCCAACGCGATTCTAACACAACGCCACGTACGACGTAATACGCAGGGAGTGCTCGGCTTTTTACACGCCTTTGCGAATATTTTAATACACTATCAACAATTTTCCAGAGCGGAGCTTAGCGAAAAGGTTCATTTTATTTATTTTATTTTATTTTTTTTTATTTAGAAGAATATTGAATTCTATATTGTTAGTCTCAAAAGTGCTACTGTTGTTATTTACTTTATATTGTACTGTACTGTATCAGAATAACGCGGTTATACTTTTTATTCATAAAGTAGGCTTATGATTGTTTTTTTTCTTTTAAATCCACGTACAGTATATACCAACGCTCGCATGGCCGACAGCCAAGTGAGTCAAATTAGCCTACATGCTTTTATTCAACGTGTGTATATTGTATAAATCAACGTAAAAATTAGCTCATCTCAAACATTCTGTCTATAATAAATGTATTAATCAATTTCCAGCAGGAAACATTTTGTCAGACTTCAAATGTGTAATGTGTAATGTATAAGTTAGGCAGAACTTAAAAATCGTTGTCAAATTTTGTCTGGAAGGTCATTCTGTATTCTACGTTTCCAATTGGTATAAATGGATTATTCATCAAATAAAAAGTTTAAGTTAAACCCAATGTCTTTGTATTTTAAATACATGGTGCACTGCGCATGTAAAAAATATGTCAGGAAGTTAAATATGGGTATAATAACATATTCTCAAAGTGGAACTAAATTGTTCTGTTTTTCTAAGTGGCTACATTTCGGTACATGTTCCGTTAACGACCAAATATCTTCCCATGCCGTACACCTTGCATATTTTATTTAAATGTACATGTTATTAAAGTACCTAACGAATTTATTTTTAATTAATTTGAACGATTTTTGAATATGGTTATATAAATGGTTATACAGTATAAAGGTCAATGTGGATTTTTTTTATGTTAACCCCAGCTTCGATCGAATTGTTGTTGTCAACTTAAGAAAAAGTTTATTTTATTTATTTTAGTTTTTTTTTTATAAATATCCAAATTTATAATTATCCACATCATTGTCGTGGTGGTCGTAAAGGTTAAATAAATTGAGATTGTTAAATACTTGATTTTGTCCCGTGTTTTTTTTTTCTTTAGTATGTGATTACTTTTATATGCCTGTGACTCTTCTATGTGTGAAACTGACCTTTAGTATATCTTATTTTCATAGATATTATGTCATACATATTCTGTACATTCTGCTGATAGCGAAAAATGAATATTACTGAAATGAAATTTGTAAAGACATGTTTAAAATATAAAATTATAGCGTAATATATAATCAATTACTTCTTTAAAAGATACAACATAAGTTTTTTTTTAGACTTTTGTGGTACTAAACACCACTTTTATTCATCACTGTAGGCCTATGATTGATACATCCAATATTCATCGATACATCCATTCAATAATCCACATATTTTGATAAATGGTTAATAAACTATGATTACAACTTAATCTGAATTTGAATTCAATAATAAACATATTATAAAATGATTTCCATTTGTGCAGCTCCATCAGTATTTTGTGTTTGAATAAACAGAATAATATCTCAGAATAATAATGATATTGTTTCATTTCATTTTATTCGGAATTATAAACATTAAAAATACAGTAATACAGTACAAAAATATATAAATATATATAAATGCGAAATATGTCATTAAAAATTTAGGAAAACCCACAATAAAAATTTAAAAAAAAAACATACAAAATTTAATAGAATTCATAAAAACTTATAAAAAATCAGAATAACGCCTGAAAGTTTAGAAGAACTTGTTTCCAATGGGGTCCTAAAATATCACAGAGAGACAAAAACGGAGACAGACGAAAGAAGTAGTACATGATGTACAGGATAAGACAAACTATACAAACTTAGGAATTAAATAATTCTCAGACCCACCTAACAGCGTTACCCAAGCTGTGCTGATCTTTAAACAGAAAGTCATGAAAATTTAAATATGTTCAATTAAATGAAGTAAAAAGATAACATTTTTTCCAGAAAGATTTTGCAATTTCACATTTTTCCAACAAATGCATCTCTTACTCAATTACATTACATAATTCACATATTACCATTTGATTCATTATCCAAAGTCAGTGGCGTATTTAGAGAAGGGCGCGATGCCCCCTCCCCCCAAAAAAATACTCGAAATCACGGTCAAGTATAATAAGTTAACAATCACCATTCCCCCCCACCCAACTGATCATCGATCCCCCACTATTTCACCTTCGCGCCCCCATCAGCCCCACCCCATTTTAAGACTTTTAGATACTCCACTGTCCAAAGTACAAGTTTTTCTAATTGCAACGTTCACATACTAGTGGGCTAAGCGAACCAAGCCAGCGCACACTTTAGTTATTAATTTAGATAAACCAAGTATTTTAATAATTATTGATCATCTAAAAATTGTAAGATTTCTTCTCTGCTTACTATTAAGATAATTTTTAAGTTTTAACATGTTGTCATTCCAATTTTTTGTTCACAGAATAGTTTATCATGCCCTACATAGACATCAATATTTTGACTTGGTCTGTCACCCAATTGAATTGCATATTACTGTTATACATAATAGGTCTATTTTTCCTACTCGCATACCTTGTGCTTTAACTTCATTGCATAGACATCACCAAATATAATGTACAATTTTTAACCCATGATTAACACTTTCTTATTTTTTGCAAAAAGGATTGTATCATCTGCAAGCTGAGCGACTTTAACCTCAGCATGATTATTAACAGTAGCTGGTAACTCAATTCTTTTAAACAATTCAGAGATTTTCATAGATTATAGAATTTCATTTCAGCCACTAAATAATAATGCTAAAAGTGAACACTCCCACTATTCATGAAAAAGCTTGAAGGCACCCAACTATTATTACTAATAATACATTCAGTATCTTTCAAAGTGTTTTAGTCCACCCAACAAAAACAAATTACAAATTACAGTAAGTGTTTCCAAAGATTCGATAATAAATATTATTAATTTCGTTCACTTGAAATATTATTTCGTTCCCGAAATATACTTTTGTTCCATCGAAATGATTTAAAGAGAACGAAATATTATTTTGTTCCCTCGAAATGATTTCGAGGGAACGAAATAATATTATTTCGTTCCCTCGAAATAGATTTTTTCTAACCATGTCTCTTTAGGGGCTCCCTACTACGCAATGATGGAATAGTGTTATTTTCACGTCCGTTAATATGCCTTAAAAAAGTTCAAGTTTAAATTTTCATTTAATAATTTACCACTTTTATTGAATATGCAAGTGAAAAAAATATATTTTTATGTTTTAAAATTTATCTTAGAGTAGGCTACTGCATATATATATTCAAAGAAGCATATGTGACAAAGACAGGCCTGCGCGTTATAGCAGTTTTCTAGCTGTAGTTGCAAGTAATATGACGAATGAAGACTAATGGCATGAAGTTCTGCCCACGCCATCAAATTTTGTGACAAATATCTGCTACCCATATGGACATTATGATGGCATATTACACCCATATATGGCAAATTAAACCCATATATCGAAAATTCCACGTATTTGTCACATAAAACGTGATTGTGAGAGTGTTGACAGCACTTACGAACACTTATCCTTTGAAGGGTCACTTTATTTAAACTCGTTTTCAATTGGTATAATTGGCTGAATCAATAAGAAAAATGTTCATCGTTAAAATCAATGTTATTGTATTCTGAAAACATGCCGCATTACGCAAGCGCATGCCAACAAATCCAGTATGGTTCATCGTTAGGAATCATTTAGCCCGTTCTTACTAGTACTATCGGAACTCTTTGGAACTATTTCAGATATAACGGCTTCAATATTGTAAATTCAAATGGCAACCGTTGATCTCCTAGTACAAGACAATGTTTCTGTTGCATTGGTTATCTTTGTTTTTTGTGTCAGTATACCTCTAATGCTGGCGATTTTGGTTGGAAATTTTATCGTTATACTCAGTGTTTACCGAAAGCGTGCGTTGGCACAAACTCCGAGTAATATCTTCATATCATCTCTGGCTTTGGCTGATATTATGAATGGCCTAATTGGAGTCCCTTTGTCTATTGTTGGATATCTTCTCCGTAAACATTTTCTGTATCCAGTTAACTGTGCAATTTGGTATTTTATGCCATGCCTAGTATTCATACACGTTTCTGTGTTCAACTTGATCGTCATCACTGTGGATCGATTCCTTGCTATCAAATATCCTATTCGATACCACGTGTGGATGGCTCCCGAAAGAGCGAATCGAATTTGTTTTTTCGTTTTTTTATTTGGGATATTCATCGGTAGTATTTCATTTACTGTAGCTGCCGTTGCGGGAATTTTTGTACCAACACCAAATGTGACATTTGAATACGACTGTGGAAGTTCTGCCTTTTATGACATTTATGGTGCCCCCGTGTTTTATTACGTCATACATCCTCTCACAGGATTAACCATCCCATGTCTATTCATTTTGTACGCGTATATTTTCTCAATTGCGTCAAAGAAAGCGAAGGAGGCTGCTACACGCCACGGAAAGAAAATTAACAGACGAGAAATGAAAGTAACCAAGACAACAGCCATAGTACTTCTGGTGTACACTCTGTGTATTGCACCTAGTGCTTTTAAAAACATCGTCCGTGGCTACATCGACAATGGTTCCACCTGGCTTGTATGGTACCCTTGGTTTTCGGATTTGATAGGCATCGCAAATTCAATGATGAATCCATTTATTTATGCAGGAAGAAGTAAAGAGCTGAGAAAAGAATTTAAAACAACGATAATATTTTTAGCTAGAAAGATGTGTCCAAGCATAAATAAAATGGAAAAGAATAGACCTAACCAGCAGAACAGCCCACGATGGTCATCAACATCCAACATTTACACTACTTCGTCGAATGGAATTCCTGTCATCAATTCAATTCAATTCAATTAACATTTATTCAATTAATTAATAAATACATCAAGTGATAAATAAAGTGGACAACATTAAAATTAATTAGGATCAAAAATAGAAGCGAAGCTTGTCTCAATTTGACCCCGACAAAACAAAAAGTAAAAACTAATAATAACCGCATATCAGGTAGACCTACATTTTATATACAAATATATATATATATATATATATATATATATACATATATATATATATACACACGTAGATACATGCATACATACATACACATACACACACATACACCCCCATACATTCATGTAAATACACACACACATATACGTACACACATACACATACATATATAAAATAAAATAAAATATTTAAATAAAGTTAAGATTGGTACATTTCTAAATAATATTTCTTCATCTGCTTTCTAAAAGTGTGGGTACTATGGCAATTTTTAAACTTAACATGAGTATAATTCCATAATTTCGTTCCGTATACAGAAATAAAAAATTGGCTTTTGGTTAGTCTTACAAAAGGAACGTAAAGTGAGTTTGAATTTTTTAAGCAATAACTGTGTATAGGTTTATAATCATGAAATAAAGCTAGAGGTTGGGAGTTGGCCTTTTATGTATTGAAACATAAAACACGCAACTTGTAGTTTGTTTAGATCCATAATTTTTAATATATTTAGTTTTTTTTAAACAGAGGTTCCGAAGGCGATGCAAATGAAGCTAAATCAATTATTCTGACAACACGTTTTTGTAGCTTAAGTAATCTATCCAGGTTCGAAGAATAGTCACAGGCCCATATTAAGTTACAATACTGCAAATAAGGGAGAATAAGAGTATTGTATAAAGTAATTAAAGTGTTGCGTGGGAAGAATAACTTAAGCCTGTTTATTATGCCTATTGATTTTGATATTTTGCTTGCAACATAATTTTGGTGTAATTTCCAACTTAGAGTTTCATCAATGAATACTCCTAGAAACGAAGTATTTGATTTACGTTCTATAGGATTTTCATTTAAAATAATGCTAAAGTTTGAAAAATTTGCTTTCTTATGGTGTGAATGAAATAAAATATAGTTAGCCTTTTGAATATTAATTAGGAGCTTATTTTCATTGAACCAGGAACCAATTTTTTAAAACTCATTATTAAACGTATTGAACAAAACATTGAGGTCTTCATTAGAATAAAAAAAAAAAAACGTAGTATCATCGGCGAAGGACACCAACTCGAGGGTGTCACTAATTCTACACAAGTCATTAACATATATTATGAAAAGTAACGGCCCCAAGACCGACCCTTGTGGCACCCCACAAGTTACATCCCTCGTCGATGATTTACATGATCCAACAGAAACAAATTGTTTACATTATTCAAATAACTTATAAACCATTTTAAAGCAATACCTCTAATACCATATCTAAAAAGTTTTGAAATTAAAATTTCGTGGTTAACAACATCAAAAGCTTTTGATAAATCTAAAAATAAACTTAATAGAAATCGTTTATTTTCAAATGATTTAGTAATGTTATTAACGAGTTCAAGTATTGAATGACAGGTTGAGTGATTCTGACGAAATCCATATTGATGGTCATTTAAGATGTTAAATTGATTTAAATAATTAAATAGTCTTTTATGCATAAGTTTTTCAACTATTTTTGAAAAGATAGGTGGAATGGATATTGGTCTATAATTTGATAGTGAATCAGTGTCGCCTTTCTTAAATACGGGAATGACTTTGGCCATTTTTAAAGTATTTGGAACTGTACCAGATGAAAAAGATGAGTTAATGGCGAATGTTAGTTGTGTAATGATGATTTGAGATACACATTTTAGGGTCCTATGAGATAAGTGGTCATAGCCAGCACCTTTGTTAGTATCTATATCATGAATTACTGCAAATAATTCAGATTCAGTGACGGGTTTAATAAAAAATGAATTAATAGGCGACATTGGTAGGAACTGTAAAGGATCAATATCAGAATCTGGTAAAGATTTGTTTATATCTGTGCCAATGGAGGAAAAATAATCATTAAAGTAGTCACAAATAGATTTCTCATTATTAATTATGTTATTGTTGATTTTCAAAACTTTAATTTTGTTAATATTCTTTTTGCTCGGATTAATAACTGAATTTATTATATTCCATGTACGTTTGAGATTGCCTTTTACCAGATCAAATTTTTGTTTATAATAATTAGATTTGGCAGTACGACAGAGACTATTGTAGATGTTATTGTATTTAGTGTAGTTTAATTTGTGTTTAGAACTTATAAAAAATATATTTTGTATATAATTTGTGTTTTCGTTTACTACATTTCAGGAGGGAAGAACTCATTCAGGGTTGTTTATGAATTTTGTTTTTCTTTATTCGACTAGCGTTTAAATGCTTACTATGAACGGAAAAAAAATTTGTCAAGAAAGATATCAAAAGAAAGTTTTGGGTCACTATTGTAAACATCGGACCAGTCAACTTGAGATAAATTATTGCAAAAGGAATTCATATCATTAATAGCAAAGGAGAAGCTTTCCTGGGTTTTTAGTTTATCTAGATCATTATCAATAAACTGGAAAATAGGCAAATGATCAGTGATATCAGAAACCAGAACACCAGATACTATACTAGATTCAGTTTCATTAGTAGTATAAGAGACAGGTATTGTATAAAGTAATTAAAGTGTTGCGTGGGAAGAATAACTT